CCTCATCAACCTGCTGAAAGCTGCTGAAGTATACGTACAGGATGCCAGCGTTGATGATGCAGAATCTAACGAAACAAACACATGAACATGTTAACTTTTCTGTGTTTTATTTGGTTCAATGAGATATGAATCAACGACAATGCTCAGTTAAATATATATTTTAAGACAGTCTGTCCAGCACACTTACATGGCTATTGCCAGGAATCCTTTCAACGGTGCGACTCCCCATATCACACCAAGGATTATTGCAATAATTTGCCGTAGCCAGTAAATCACATCTAAAAACTCATCCTGTAAAAGAAAAGAGAGAAACTTCATTTAGAGAACAAAATACTTGAATGAAAAGATGGTAATGCATTATTATCCCCTTCATTTCATTTGTTTATGTTTTCTATTTAGGGGATGTATTACAAGGGTGTGTGTGTGTGTGTGTGTGTGTGTGTGTGTGTGTGTGTGTGTGTGTGTGTGTGTGTGTGAGATGGTTCTTTCCACAGAAAAAAAAGACGGAGAAACTGTTTATAACACAATGCATAATCTATTGTTTTGACTAAAATAGCTTGATGCATCACTAATCTTTTGTCAAAGCCTGTTTCTCTTATAATAAGTGTCGCCCATTGGCTTAGGGCTTCACTAAGGTTATCTGAGGTTATGGTTGGGTGACTATACGATGATTTGCTAGGGTTTGACTTAAGGTTGGGTTTAGGTAACATTTAGGGAGACAAACACTGACACAAAAAACTTGTGATAGTGAATATTAATCGTGTAATTGATGAGCCAATAAACCGAAATGTAACTTATGGCAATTTAAGTTAGCAAGAGCTGCAGCTGCTTAAATTAAGTGTGTATAATTACATATAGTGTTAGATGCAACACTAGACTATTTTAAAGCAAATTACTCAGTGAGAGGACGTATTGAGAAATGTAAAAGGCATTTTAGTAATTTGATCCCTTCAAAGCCAACGTATATAAAGTAATACATCTCAGCGTTTTATACATATATTCGACTTCAAGACCAGTAGTTTTGTTATGAACAAATCTCTTAAGAAAATTAACGTCAGGCCTAGCATTATTTTTTTCTCCAATTGACAAGTAACCCAGGCAAACCACATAATCCTTAGCATGCTGGCTAGCTCCAGATAGCCGTCTTTATGAACACCGGACAACAAATCAGGTGATTTGATAACTTTGTGGCAACTAATAGCGACAACATAACAACTGAGCTACATGTTAAAGCTGTCTGACCTTCTCCTCCCAGACAGCAGTACTGTTGAAGACTTTGCTCCATGAGGGCTGCTTTACACCCCCATTCTGCAGATGACTTTCTTCTTTCCGCTTTAAATTGGTCGTCATTCTTTTCTGTTTCCTTCAGCTGTAGACGTCAAAAGGTTAGAATCCAAATCCGAGGACCCTTCAGGCTAGATAAAAGTCTCTAGCGCAGACTAGGGGAAGAAAGTACTGAAATATTAGAAGGTATTAAGGCAACGTACGCTACGCTGATCTGACAGATTTCAGTCTGGAAGCGAAAAAGGGCACCTGAGCATGCGCAAGGCAGTTTGACCCCGGCCTACAACAGCCAATGAGCGAGTGCGACGTTTCTGCAACGCTCGTGGCAGAAAGTGCTTAAAATCTGCAGCGACAGTTAGTGGTCAAGATGTGTAATGCAATTCAGAACTGTCAAAGCAGGTTGTGGTAGGTAATACTTTTGGGTTACCCCTCATGAGTGTTTTTGTAATTTATTAAACCTATGTACTCCTTCAAACAACTTTTGGACTTACATTGGCTATTGGACTTACTGCATGTTCTTAGTTAGACCGTATATTACTGGAACACAAATCTGTTAATAACTCTTTGCAATATATAATTGTAATACTGTTATCTAACATACATGTTACACTTATTTTGATTTTATAAATACTTCAGCTACTTACTTATCTACCTGAATATGTACTTATGTAAACTTTAATAATGTTTATTTGAAATATTATGTGCATGCCTTTTATCTAATTGTGTTTAATTTTTTTCGTCTCTATTTATACTTTGCTATAACAATGTAAATGTTCCCTCTGTGGGATGAATAAAGTGATTCTGATTCTACATTATTTCATTAACCTGGGTGTTTCATACGGCTTTGGGTTATATCTCAGATATGATTTAAGTGTCATTAACAGTAAAGTTGATCACTTTTTAATCAGAAAACATGACATTCACAAAGGCCAAAGTTGTTTTTCAGATATTCAAGTATTTAAAATCAGTCTTTAATGTCATTTCCTCTCTCCTTAAAAACATTGTGACACCATTGCCAAGTATTTAAGTAGTTTACTATATTGCTTACTTTATTGTTAATAAATTCATTAGTATGTAAGGCAAAAATAAAAGCATAGTGTTTTTTTTTACATTACATCATCCGATATATGATGAAAGAAACAAACTGTGCACTGTGAGTATTTTGTATATATTATTGTAAGTCACATTTGAATAAATGAATAAAATAATATGTAAAGAACATATCATTCAAACCAATTGTGCTAAATCAAGATATGATGCACTGATAATCAAAGAGGCAAAGAAAACACAAAAAGTACATATACATTTCAGAAGCTGGGCGTAAAATCTTTTGAGCATTTATGTCTTTTTATTAAACTAATTAATTTTCGATTGAGAAATTGTTGAATTGAATAATCAATGCAGCTTACATATCTCAAATTGATTATATAAGAAGGGGTTTCAAGTCAATTGGCTACAACTCACACACACTCTCTCTCTCACACACACACACACAAACACACCTAAACAGATGTTAATCCTTGTCCACTGGCTGCTTTATTATTCTCTTTCTTCAGTTTTGCATAATTGGTATATATTCAGTTTTTTCAGAGAACATTGAAGTAAACATCAACCACAGGTGAACAACTACAACGTAAAGCAAAATGATTAACAAACCAAGAGTTACCTAAATATATATTTATAATACACATTTTTAAAGGAGGACAAAATAAAGGTAATAAACACATTTTGATTGTAAGAAAATACAAGATAATGATTTCTGAAATCAAATTTCCCCTAAAAAGTAGCAGTTTTTCAACGTTTACATAGGTGCATGTTTTATTTAAACAAAGCAACATCTGAAATAATGAAAAAACAATTACCCTTAAGTGACACTCGCTTGCTCTTCTTTCAGTCATTCTCTCTACTGTCCAGCAGAGGGTTCCCTTCATGAAGGTGAGCTTCACTGCAGTTGGTGAAAGCCTTATCTAGCTCCTGTACATCCTCTCCAGATCATCACTCTGATTTGAGATAACCATGATTGTTATACCTAATAAACTGGTGTGAATGGAGACATTTGGCTAATCCTTTCCAATAATGCTTTACTATTGTCCAACCATAGCCTCGTTCCTTAAACCAGTCGGACAAATACATCATGAAAATTGACGCTTGAGTGATAAGATTTGATTGAATAAGGAAATGCCCCTGGGAATAGTATTTAAAACACAGATAATTAGAATAAATTATATTAGGATGGAAACAAATGTTCAGTTGCCTGTTATAAAATATCAATGTTCTCTTACTCCCAAATGTATTCTGATGATATTTTAATATATTTCTCATGAATGTGTATTGATGACAGATGTAATATGCTAAAATCAGTGTAATTATGAATACAATCATGCACATACGAGAACCATTTGGGGAATTTCAGTTTCTCTTTTGAGTCTTCAAATTGACCCACTATGCATCTTTACTAAATGAGTCATTCAGGAAGATGTGGGGGATGTGTGATGAACATCTTAATTTGTGTCTCATTGCATGGCTGCATAATAAACACAGCTTAATGGAAATCAATAACACTTTAATATGACAAGTGAAAAGCTTTTTCTGTTGAATTGTAAAATTCCTTTGAGAAGCAGTGGAAAGAAACCATGTACTCTTACTAACTGAATAGCAATAAATCTACATATCCTACTTGTAGAAGAGCCATGGTCTTGTACAATCTCCAACTACCTTTTATGTCTATGCAGACAGTAAATATTTTGAATGAGGTTCAAACTCCAGCAAACCTAGTAGCAGAAGACAAGTTTATTGTGAAAACTTGATTTGACTGTATACACCCAGTTGCTAGTTTGTTAGGTGTTTTTTTCAAGATGTACTTCAACAGATTACTTGCAATCTTAATTTAAGTAATTGATCAATTTGTTCTACTCTACTAGAATTCAGAGGTGAATTGTGTACTTTTACTCCACTATAGTTATTTAATCCCTTTAGTTACTTTGCAGATTTGGATTAATGATGTGAAATATAATCAACACATACATAAGACTTTAGTTACACCTGGAGTACATTCACAGGCTATACCCTGCAGCATACAAAGTAATTAAAACTGCACATTTACCAGCTTTGATAACACTTTATGCATCAATAATTATAATCAAAACCTATAATATATTATTCTAAAATGGACCAATCTGCATCATGAGTACTTTTACTTTTGGTATTTTAAGTATATTGTTGATGCTTTTACTTGAATAACATTTTGAATGCAGGACTTTTACTTAACAGAGTATCCCTACATTCTGGTACTTATACTTTTACACAAGATCTAAGTACTTCTCCCACCTCTAGAAATGTATTGGAGACAAAACAACAAGGCTCATTGCCTTACATACTGAACATACGGATGAGCAGTCATTTATATGTTATTGTTTTGGCAATCTTTCGATAGTAGTTCTTTAGTATAGTTGAGGTGTGATGAATGAACTTTTGACACAATGTAGCCTTCTATCTCTTTAAGAGGGGTCACCTGGAAGAGAGGGACAGGTGTGAGTTGCTGTAACACATGACGTCTCACCTAGACAGGAGAATCTTTTGTTGCTTACTAAAACTTGACCAGGACCCCCACGTATTGTTGGGTCAAAGTCAGGACGGGATGTCTGACTCACTTCTGCTGCTCTCTGCACGGCGGAGCTCGAGCTCTCACGCCAACTCCACCGTCAGTGACGTCTGAGTCACGTGTGCGTCTCTTCCCTCAGTACGTCCGTCGTATTTTCCTCCCCTCCACTGCCTGCTTTAACACTGAGAGCCACTCGAAATAAACAAGCGTTGTAGGGACCAGCCTGGCTCCAGTGTCACGTTTATCACCAGCCTATGGACAGAGGGGGCTTACACCTCTAAGTTGCCATCAGTGAAGCCCAAGCCTCCCGTCAGTTTCTGCCTCCACTGAGCCCATATCATTGTAAACTTTTTTTAAAATCCTGCGCTGCATACACTGAGCTCCGACAAAGCGAGGTGAGTGTGGTTTTATAATACACATTTACACAAGTGTTTCATCTTTCCCAAAACTTGTGCGGGCTATAATAGTGCCGCCTTACCTTTGCGGGCTGCGCTTTGGCTCAGCTGCATGTCGCCTGCTTAAAATGGCGACAGCGGGGGGAGAGAGAGTAGTTTTTTGGGCTGGGGGCTTGCCTTTTCCTCCACTCTGAATTGGTTGCAATGTTTAAAACCTATAACGCAGACAAGCCTATTAAGTTGGGGCTCACTCCGCCTAACTTGAGCGGAAGATGAACACGCATCATTTTCGTAAATGTTTGACGCCGCTGCGCTCTGGGACTAGCGTTACATTACAGACACTGTAATTTAATAAAATACCGCTATTTCCTCATCTTTTTAAAACATGTATTGTTTATATAAGGAGCTATTAGATGTTGTCGCTTTACATTAAATTCATACATTTAATATATTCAGCTTAAACTCCCTATTTTCAGTCTGTGCCATAAATGAAGTTAGAAATCATTTAGACAATCAGTTATGACTTTTTTCAGAGTTTATTTTGGACAATTGTGCAACTGATTAACTATGATTTACCCACGACCTTATTATAAAACCTATATTTTTGTCATATAAAAGTGTAATGTTCACAGATTGGTTTATACAAGGATACACACTTTTCATAAAGCTTCATAACTTAATGCTTTTATGTTGCCTACTAGTCTGAAGTTGTTGTCTTGGATTTCTATCATGTCAGTGTTGTCATGAGTGTGTGACTCCAGAGATTAGAGCAAAGCTTTCCCAGACAGCTCGTTTGTGTCTGATGTCCACGTGAGTCCCCAGCATAGACGGGCAGCTTAATCCACCTATATATTTATCTCTCACAGTGGTACATCTCTCAGTATACAAGAGGTCAGCTCCTATACTATTGCTGATTAAATAATCAATTTGGCTATGTAGGTTTTTTGTTGTTGTCAATGGGTACAAAAGTCAGCTATTTTTGTTGTTAATATTATTGTTATTATTATGCCTTCTTGCTGTGGTGATGCTTGAGCTCAATGGCTGTACATTTCAATCTGAAAAGTCTCACCCCCCTCCCCTCTCTCTCTTTCTCCCATTCTATCCCTCAGTTTAGGAAAGGTTGAGCTGCTTTCTATGAAAGGATGAATCATAAGAACATTTACGTAAACTGTATTTTGGCCTTGCACTTCTGTTCATCGTGAGAATGATTTTCTGTGTTTTCAAGTTTCCTTTTTACACATCGAACAACATCTTAAAAGTGTGTGTGTGTGTGTGTGTGTGTGTGTGTGTGTGTGTGTGTGTGTGTGTGTGTGTGTGTGTGTGTGTGTGTGTGTGTGTGTGTGTGTGTGTGTGTGTGTGTGTGTGTGTGTGTGTGTGTGTGTGTGTGTGTGTGTGTGTGTGTGTGTGTGTGATTCATTCAGTAATCACTTTTAATCAGTGAGTTTATTCCTCTCTCTGTGTTGACCCACAATTTACTTCCAGATCTCTACCAAGTTTGACAACAACAAATATTGTCAGATGTGACTCTAGAGCCTTTTCTCAATCTTTGTGGGGTAGCAGTGTGATCCACCCACATGTCCGGACACAGCGAGCAGGTTTGGGTCAGCAGTAGCAGCAGCAGCAGCAGCCTCTTGCTCTGCTTGGCTGGTTAACAGCTTGGGATGTCAGCCATTTTAGGTTGGACAGCACAGAGCATGGTGCTCCGCCATTTCTCTCTCCCTCCCCTCTCAGCAACCCAGTTTAAAGCCTGTACTGGCAGTGGCCACAGTATTGCAGCCGTTTGCAACCCACACAGCCATCCGCTCCCTGACCTGAGAGCAGCCCAAGTGGGACTCAGGAGCAGATGGAATGACACCGTAGGACACAGTCATTGAGGTTTCCTTACCGTTGCCACTATTGTATTGGCGATGAAATGGTAGTGGTAATAAGTTCAGACCCACAAAACGTGTAAGCGTTGAGGGTTGTGAGCGTGTATCAGCGTCAGCAGATTCACAAGTGTGTGAAAACCCTAGAGTTTATTGACAAGAGGAGTCATATTGGAGCCATGTCTTTTTAAGGTGGGAGTATAATCAGTAGCTGTCAAGATATTTCTGTTTTTGGGAGAGAAGAAAACATGGCGAAGGATTTCTCTTTTGGTACATGGTAGAAAAAGCAACGGTTTAGGAACATAGACTAGTATATGGTAAAGGGCTTTGGTGAAGACTTTATAATTAGCCTGGGGGCTCACCCTTGGGGATAGAGGTGGTCCCTCAGTCGTCTCTGAAAGAGATTCCAGCCCTGTTTATGTATCCATGCCTCTGTTGCCTACAGTGAATACAGAAGCCCTGCATGCCTCAGGCCGTTGAGGCCAAACACAGGAGCCACAGAGAGCCAGGGCAGTATGTCTGGAGGGGGACTTAGAGTTAAACAGGAAGAGACGCCATCAGCTCTGGCCAATAGCATGCCCAGGCGACGGCGACCACACCTAGCTGGGAGACATCAACACCGCCTGAGGTAGGCACTGAAATAGGAGCAAGGCAGGGACTCGCCAAATACCACTCACAGGGGTGTGTGGAACAAACAAGTTGGGGACTGGATGCATAAGAGATGTGTGTGTGCGCCAAGGTTTGAGTAACCATGTCTGTGTGTGTTTACTCACACGCATGTGCTTTACAGAAAGGAGCTGGTGGGAGAGAGAGAGGGGGTAGGAGGTGGTTGCCATAGGGACAGTAACACACCAGTGGCGCTGCCGACCTGTCTCCCTGGGCCAAACTTGCTAAGAGAGGGAGGAGAAGAAGAAACCGAGGTAGGGAGGGAGGGAGTTAAGGGGTGCAGAGACTGTTGGCGAGGGAGAGGGAGGGGGGAGTGAGGGTGAAGAGACAGGGGAAGAGGGAGAAAAAAAGACAAGTGTGGAAGCAAGAGCAAACAAGGAAAAGACTGCCTGTGTTGTACACCATAGAGCATTTGTTACACGTGTAAACATATCAACATTACACCTGTACTCTCAGCTAGGTGAGGAGTTAGCTTACTGCTACGCCAAGCAGCCGAGCTGTAGGATTTCTAGAGTGTGTTATCATTTGCCTGTACTCGAAGGACACAGCCCGGGTCTAGACGAGAGTCAGTAAGTCAAGAACATCGCCTTTGTGTGTCACTGGGAGATCTCTGACTCTCACATGCAGAAAAAATGGCAGCTTCACTACCTCGGTAAACAAGCCTCACACACAGGCATGCAGGCAGCCACCCCCGCACGCCACATACACACACAGACGTGAGCACACTTGCTCAACTCGCCCACCCCCACCTACCCTTCTCTCCACTCTCAATCTCACAGGAAACCCACACATGCAAATGCTGACACGCATAACACACAAACCCACCATCACCACATGGTCAGTCAATCTATGTGTAGCTTTCAAATTAAAGTTTCTGGCCGATGTGCTCATACCCGTGAGTCAACAGTGCTCTGTCTGAGCCCGGCATTGCGGAGACATGAGCTGCCCATGTCGACTCGCCGATAATAGCTCGGCCTGCATTGTGCATTGTTTCTATCCTCACCTGTGTGAGGCCTCTGGGTCTGCGCTGGTAACTCGCCTTGCAAAGACTCAAGCTTTATCTGCAAATGTGGTCAGTGTTGTCATTTGTCTCACATGCCATCAGCGTGAGATGCAAGATCTGTTGCGATCGTAGCGCTGTCTTTCGGTGTAACCGCCTGTGGGTTTTTACATGATTTATTTTGATAATTTGTGATACCTTATGTGTTTGTCTTTAGTTTGAGTAATTGGTGAACATGATACACTGAGACGCATGAGTGTGCACATACAGACACTCAAGCTGAACTTCAGGTTGTGTCCACTGGCTGAAGAGCTCGGGTTGGAACATTCCAGTCTTTGCAGTGCAGCGAGGAGGGAGGGAGGGAGGGAGGGAGGAGGGAAGGACTGTGATTGTAGTTTGGAGCAAGAAGGGGGCGTTGAAGATCGGGGGTTAGCAGGGCGGGGTGGTGTTGGCTGGTTGGAGGGGGGGTATCAGGGAGGAGAAATTCCTCACTGAAACACCTCAGTGCTTCCTCCACGACAGTTAACACCCCTCCTTCCCTTGCCTCCTCACCCCCAAACCGGCTGCCCATCCCCCACCGTCCTCTCCTCTCGCTTGCCCCCCCCTACACCCAACCGAACCACGTGATGGATGGCTGAGACTGCCCCCCCATAAGCCTTTGTGTTGGTCATGTGACCAGCCTGCCTTGGCAGAGCGGTGCCCCCTGATGCAGAACTGAATGGCAGGGCAGTAGGAGGGGTGCACAACAGCCCGAGCTGAGGGCAGTTACTCTCTCTGAGGCATGCTCGGGGGGACAAGGGGGCATCACGTTCCCCCCACAGTAGCAAACTTATTTTGCCTCTTTACCCCTCACTCTCAGATGCATAACGTCAAACTAAGATAAATATAACAACTAGCATGTTCAATTAAGATGCTTGATACAGTGTCTCGGTATTGATGAATTATTTGTGGTATTGAGTTCAAAACATTTTGAAAAGTAACACACAGGAAGTTAGAAAAAGTCATCGACTTTAACTGAGGTTGTTGGCTTCAGACTGCAGGAAAGTATACCTTCGCTCGGTAAGTGTGTGAAAGGGTATCCGTCACACCCCAGGCCTGTGACGGTTAACTGGGCTCTGAGCTAATGTACCATGACCTTTATGTAAAGCAAAGAGTGTGTGTGTTTGTTGGTCAAAAAGAAAGAGGGCATTTGCCACTTAATTAGTTACATTTGATTGGTGGTTTGGTTAATTGTATGATGACAACTTGTAGTGTGCTGCTCACCTGAAAGGGACATAGTGGTTATTATTATTATTGTGCATCAAGAGGTTATGCTAAGTCTGAAACAAGTCCCTCTCAAGTTTAACATTTTTTTATAGGACTGCTCTATTTTGAAAGAGCATGATTATTTTAGATTTGGGCGGCCTACCAGAAAAGCTGCATTTGGTTTGGATTTGTTGGTGAAGGGAGGAGCTGGACTTTGAAAGGTTTTAGGGTTTTCCTGTTCAACGTCTTTTAGCTGCTGAACTTTTGTGAGCTTTTGCTGCTCTTTGCGTGAGGTGTCATGTCGGTGAAGAGTGATTGGGAGAGTAATTGCCCTAGAGCTGTCCTCCAATTCTGCATCACTACCTCTCTGTCAGAGGGAGGGGAACACTCCTCCACAGGAAGCTTCACCATTTTGTAAGGGGGACAAAGGATTTAGGGGTGATGTGAACATTTTGAAGATTCACATTCACACTTACGCAGGCCTACGGTTTCAATCTGCACTGTGTGTGCTAGTGTTGGACGAGAACGCCATTTTCCTGAGGAACATCTGTTGATCCACCCACTAACACAATTATCAAGTAGACTCTATCTTAAGCAACTCATTCACAAGTGAGAATTTCTGTGGAAATCTTCATAAAAAGTATTCACTGAAGCTACAGAGTCTTTGGATAAAATACAGAATGTGCTCTCTCTGTGGGGGTGTGTCTGAATGAGGGGAAGTGAGGCAGAGTTGTGTGGGGGAGGGGAAAGGAGGGTAGGACAGGAGCTCTCCTAAAAAGCCTTTAGTGAAGGAGCAGACTGAGGTGGGTTGAATGCCCTCATAAAAGAGAGCCTTGAGTTTCATGGGAGTTGAGGACAAGACTAGATTTCTTTTATTTAAAGATCTTCAAGCAACACTCTAGTTTTTAAAAGGCTTCGGGCTGAATCTTAACACCAATGCTTATTATTACCTGTTTTGTTGATATTTTACCTGGAAAAATCCAGCCATGGATTTCTTCTAGCTGAGAAATCTGGGTTGTACTGAGTGGCGTAAGATATCCCATCTAATTTATTCTCTTTGCAATCTGTTCTCCCTCTCACGACTCTTCTGTCATTTGTACTTGAAACATTTTATGCCACAATCCAAAACTTAGAGGTACTTTATTGATCCCGAATTTGGACATTTCTAAAATGTCCCAATTTGAGATGAATAAATTACCTCTTATCTTAAAACTTGACTTGTTCTAAAACGTGTTACTCTTTCATTTCCAGGTTCCCTCTTTGAAGTTGCAGTGAGAACTACAAGTGGACCTATGGAAATGTCCCGCTGTCCTCCTTCCCCCATGCCTGGTCTATAGTCAGCCCATAATCTCACTCAAACCCTGTTCCCAGCCATTTGAAGAACCCACCCTGTGGTCGCACCATGGCCAGCAAGAGGAAGACCACTATCCCCTGTATGATCCCCAGCAAGATCATACGCCCAACAGATGAGGTTGACCGGGACTCTCCGGATTTTTACTGTCAATCCAGGTTTTCTGGAGGTGGCAGACATAGCTCTCCCGACCCAGGCGAGTCTTTCAGACCAGAGGCGGGGGACGCCATCAAAGACAGTGCTGGCACTTATACCTGTAAGCCTTGTAACTTTGAAACCCATGACCTTAACTTGTTCTTGGATCATGTGTACTCTGGGCACCCAGACTTTCGTGCGGACCCCAGCTTTTTTTGTGTAAGCTGCAGGGTCTCAGCGCCCAAGTTTGAGGGGCTGGCCCTGCATAATGCCAGGATTCACCCTAGCACATTGAACACAACTCTGCAGCTGAGGAAGAAGGACAGGAGGGTTGTGGTGGAGCAGAATCTGCTAACTGGGGCAGAAACAGGGAAAGAAAGCGAGATCTCCATCACCAAAACCCCGATGATTAGGATGCTGAAGGGCAAATCAGAGTCTAAACGGATAGTGGTGTCTCACCCTATCTCTGATGAGCCTTCCTCAGACTCCTCTTCTAGAGAGACTGAGAGAAAAGATCCTCCTGCAGTCACAGTCACCCATGTTCCCACCATCGTCCACAATGGGACCACAAAAGTCACTCTGCCTTCAGCAATCCAGATAGTCAACGGCTCTGGAGCTTTACCAATGCTCAAGACTCCCATCACACAGGTAGGTGGTCATTAGGCTGTTTTGGAAAAGTTGGTTTATAATTGACTTATATTAGATATGAAAAACATTTAATACATTTTAAATATTTTCCCTACAGGTGGTCTCAATGGTTCAAAACAGAAACTTTCATCAATCTGCACCAATCACAGTCTCCTCAAATATTTCCTCGGCTTCGCATTCAACCTCCAAAAATCTCCCTAAGGTAACTTTTGTAATGAATTTGTTGTGTCCCAGTGTAATGAGATTAATAAGAGATTGAATAATGCGATAATCTTTCTCCTCCCAGGTGATGATTCCTTTGAGCAGCATCCCTACCTACAGTGCCTCCATGGACTCCTCTTCCTTCTTGAAGACCTCCTTCAGTAAGTTTCCTTACCCCACAAAGGCGGAGCTCTGCTACCTGACTGTGGTCACAAAGTTCCCAGAAGAGCAGATCAAGATCTGGTTCACGGCCCAGAGACTCAAACAAGGCATCAGTTGGTCTCCTGAGGAGATAGAGGAGGCCAGGAGGAAGATGTTCAACACCATCATACAGACTGCACCTGCCAGCTCGCAGAACCACATCCATAGTCACCAAACCTCGACCCATCACACATTCACAGTCCTGCCTGCCTCGCTGGGGGCGACAGGGATCCCTCACTTCCTGCAGGGCTCTCTTCTCAGCCAAGGAGGGGTTATCATGGCAAATGGTATCCAGGTTAGCAGCACTCCGTTGGCCCTGGCTGTCACACCGAAGCCCCAGGCAGCAGCCCGCCCCATGCAGGCCCGTCCCGCTGCCGCCCTGGTGGCAGACAAAGGCGTCAGCATGGTGGTGGGGACGGGGGGCAGCAGTAGCACTGGGAGCAACATAATTAGCAGCAGTAATAGTAGTAGGAGTGGGAGAGGGGGCACAAGCAGTATTATTACTAGCAGTCAGGCTAGTGTCATCAACCTTAGTTTAGGGGGCAGTAATGCTAGGGTTAGCAGTGTCAATGGTAAACAAAGCAGTGCAAACTACAATAACAAGAGCAATAGTAATGTCACCAGCTATGTAAATGCTAAGAACACTGATTTCAGTAAAGCAAACAAGACCAACGTCGTGAAGAGTGACAACAAAGGGTCCACAGAAAGCAGCAGAGAGGGACAGAAGAGCAAAGATGCCAACGTTAGCAGCATCAAAAATGACACGCATGATGTCGAAACCACCACCAGCAGCTCTCCAGCCATCAAAATGGAAGAGGCGTCTTCCCCCATCTCAAAGTCTCCCTCCCCCTCACCTGCATCTCGGATGTCTTTGAACGCGTTCCTGGACCCCAGCTTCTATAAGGGCAAAAAGTCTCAGGAGCAGCTCAACCACCTGAAGGACAGTTTTCTGGTCTGCCAGTTTCCCGACCAGGAGGAGGTTGACCGGCTCATCGCTCTGACCGGGCTCACAGTACGAGAAGTCCGCAAGTGGTTCAGTGACCGGCGCTACCACTTCCGCAACCTCAAAGGGTCCCGCTCCAGCACAGGGGCGCAGAGTAAGGCGGGGGCAGCAGGGAGCGCTTCAGGTACGGCAGGGGGCGGAGCTGCTGGCGGCGCCCAACCTGTGGATCTGTCTGAGAGCAGCAGCAACTCCGAATCAAAAACTCCCCAGCACAGCTCGGCCCCCCTGAGCCCGACTGCATCACAGACTCCAACCTCTCCCACCACACCTTCCCGTCGACTCCCCAGAGCTCCTTCTCCAGATTTCACAGCTATCCGCTACAAGGAGAGAGAACCTCATCAGGTGAGGCTATTGGTTCGTAAGAAACTATAGGGATTCAATGCTTAGAGGCTGACAATGTTTTACTGATCAATCAGTACTAATGCTGAAACTGACTTTTTATTATTAAGTTTAAACATTTAGAAATAATTCAACTTATTTCAAAATGTCTGTTTACTGGTCTTTTTCAGGAGTGTTATTGCATACAGTTTTAAAACGTTGAAATGCCTTTTAGATAAGTGCCTAAAGAAAAATCTTAAATTGTGCCAATTATCCTTCTTGCTAAATCTACTCAGTCCTTTTTTGACCTTTTCCATTCCTGTCTTATGTTTAGTTGAAAGCTCTAGAGGCCAGTTTTTGCCTGGAGTCAGACCCGACAGGAGAGGAAGTGGACAGATTGCGATCTGAGACAAAGATGACCAGGAGGGAGATCCATGGCTGGTTCGCTGACAGGAGGAAGAGGCTGGCAGCCGAGAAAAAGAAAGAGGATGCTGAGCGGGTGCTGAGAGAGGAGGAGGGGGAGATGGAAGTTGATGGGGAGGAGAGACAGAAAGAGGAAGGCTCAGGAGAACTGAAAGTGAACCCTATTAAAATCAACCTGAAGATGCTAAAGGTGACCGAGGCCAACAGCAAAGCAGAGGGTGAAGGGTTGGATAGCCCGCTGCACTCCAGTAACACACCTGCATCCTCCCCAGGCCTCACTCCAGCCACCACCCCCAAACCATCCCAACCCTCCACCCCAACACACAAACCATCCAACTCCCCCAAACTCACAGCCCTACGAGGTAAGAAGAACGCGGAGCAGCTGCAACAGCTCAAACAAGTGTACGCTCGTACCCAGTGGCCCAGCGCCACGCAGTACGATGACCTGATCTGCAGCTCCGGACTGCCCCGACCAGAGGTGGTGCGCTGGTTTGGAGACTGCCGTTATGTGCAGAAGAACGGCCAGCTGAAGTGGCTGGAGGCTTACCAGACCATGGCTCTGGAAGAGGACCTCCAGAAGGAGAACATAGAGATCCTGCAGGCCCACCGCGACACCTACAGCAGCCTGGAGGAGTCACAGGTAAGGAGACAACAAATAGTGTTAAAGGTGGGGTATGTCATTTATTTCAGAAACACTTTTTGTTATATTCCATGGAATGCTCTTAACGTCCCGATAGCAATGAATACATTAAATGCTTTGACAATAAATACATAAAAAAAGTCATCTCTGGAAGCCGTAGCGCTGTAAAAAGCACGACCAATCATTTTAGCCGGCCCGGCTAAAGTAACTGGATGGCCTACCTGCCTGTCAGCCTTCCATCTGTGCACAAACTTATCTCGTGCCCTCATTGGTCATGTGCGCGTTCGTGTGTGTTGGAGGAGGGGCTCTGTAAGGAAGCCTGAAGGAAGAGGCAGATTTTCTCCGGTTGTGTACTTTCAAATTCTAGCGCATTCGAGCTGGTTTCTCCAAAATTACATACCCCACCTTTAACACATTTAGAACAGAAGAGCAATTCAATTTTTTTATGGGATTTGATTTTCACAATTATTTATTTTCTGAAATAAAACAAATCATTTCGACTTAATGTGAGTTATAAACAAATAAGAGAACTTTTGATTATAAGCAACTTTTTAAATTTTTTTTTTTTATGAATGCCTCATTATGCTTTTGGACACAGGTTTTTAGCATTTACTGTCAACCTGTAATTGTCACTTGTGATAACGGTGGCTGCTCTTAAGCTATGACAAGCTTTAATTAAAAAAAGGTATCCTCCCTGTCCTTTAACACAGATTATTCTTTGTGCACAGTTGCAGGAACTAGCTCAGGCTAGTGGTTTAACAGCAGACTTGGTACGACACTGGTTCTCTACCACAGCGTCTTTGCCTCTGTTGGAACAGACGGCTGCTGCTCAGGAGACAGAACCCAAAGCAGTCGCAGCAGACGCTGAGCCACGAACAACAGGATCCTCCCCCCCGGAGCCGCAGCCAGGAGGAGGGACGGAGGAGAAAATGGAGCAGTCGGTGTGTGGTGTCGCAACAGAAGCAGAGGAGGCCAACACTGACGAGACTGTGAATCCCACTAAAGGTAGTCTTCGTTTCACGAGCAATCTTTAGTGTGATACATAGTCATAAAATCCTTGCAAGTCAACAAGCAGAGTATAACACATTTTTTCTTTCTAGATGAATCTATTAAATGCAAAAAGTTGTTTTTTTACAAATGGCATTCACAAGCGCAAGCCAACCTTTCAAAATCTTTACATATTTAATTTGCTATCAAATGTGACAAAGGAAGCAACAAACCGAACTGGAGTATTTAACAAATTTGCTTAACTGAAACGATTATTGGAAAAGCTGCAGATTATTTATTTTTCGATGGACCATCTGTGATTAATCGACCGATTACTGAAATATTTATTTAGACACCATGGAGACTTGATATCCACTCGACAAGCGTTCTCTATTCATTACCACTCTGACTATCTTTTCTACATTTCCAACCTTTTCTCCCAAAAACATACAATGGGTTACTATTTAGGCTTTGTTACGAGTTAATACAAAATTAGGTTGTCCAATTGTGATGGGAGAAAGTGATAGAGCTAGGGAGACACTGGTTATATGATCTATGAATCACAACATGGATAATTGTCTAAGGTGAAACAGGTAAAATCACAATGTTCATAATGATGTGTACCGAGGTGTGCTGGTACCTGCCACCAGCACACTGTGTATAAATAAAGAACATTTATTCTTGTCCTCTGGAGCATGTTGTCAGGGCGATGGATTTCTAATTTCTTTTTGGTTACTACAGGAACAGATTGAAGTGGCTCTTTTTTCCTGAGGATGGAGTTCACAACGCAGGTGGTCTTTGTGTCGGTAGTCTGAGGAAAAGACGGCAGATGTGCTTGTAACGGGATCACTGGAGGGAAATGGACCCTGAAGCCATCCCCACCCATCCCTCTCTCACACCCCTAGAGGTAGGCATGACATCCCCCACCACATGAGATGGACACTAAAGCCACTAACCCCCCTCTTATCCACCCACTCCCTGCCCTCCTCCTGCTGCTGAATCCACCCCTCCGCTACACAGACCCTCTCCAGAACCCTCCCGTCCGCCATTTTCTCCTCAGAAGGAAGTCCCAGTAGAGACTGAAGTGCAGGAGAGGAAGGAGGGGCCCGAATATTTTCTACTGTTTTTGTTCCGCCTGCCTGCTGTGACGGGAGAAAGGAAGGGGTGGTTTTGGAGGGAGCAAAGCGAGAAAGTGGCGGGACCTCAGCAGATGTTGATAAGGAGCATGGGGTGGGTTAGGTTTTTGGACAGTCATCGACCAAATCAACACTCGGACAAGGATCGAAAGAGTGTTAACAGCCTGTTCATAGTTTGTTTTGGAGTACGAAATACTGCACAGCTCTTAGCCACAGGGTGCTTGCCTTTTAAAGGCCTTAAAATGACCTTTTCCATTGTGCCATCTTCATACTCCCCTTTTCCAACAACCTGCACTCATACACTTTGTCTTCATGCTTGCAGCTTACTTTAAATGTGCTAGCAAGGCTGTTCATAGTGTAAATGTGGAACTCAGCATTGATCATTTCAACTTTGTCTTTTTTAGATATTTTTGTTTTTACTTTTCATATCTAGGACATTTAAATTGTCCAGTTTGGTGAAAATAAAATGTCTTGAATTCCGTTATCCTAAGAAGGCAAGCACCCTGTTGTTTAAACAAAATGCGACACGTAGACTATATGGAATCTGGTTTGTGCTGTAGCATAGAGTGCATCTTTACGTCACTCACGTGTACGTACATTTGTTTTTATAGGGCTCTCCTATGAAATAAAATGTACTGTAAAATAACTGAACTTTCCACACTTAGGCTTGATGTATACTTTTTACAGATGTCATTTGCAGAATAAACAGAATGTAATAAATGTGGCTTCAAGACTCTTCCAAATGGTGTACAATAATGGGAGGGGTAGTTATGCCTGATCTTGACTATAAACAATAATGCTTTAGTTATGAGGGAGCCAACAAAAAGCCTCTTGTTTAAGTTTGCTACTAACAATAATTTACATTTGATATACAGATCTGTCTTGATAACTTAGTATATGAAACATGGCCTGAGGGTTTAATACATTGAGGAGGAGTTGTAACAAGTCTGGCTCCTTGACCTCCCCATCTCCTTCACCCATCATTGGCTGTCCTCGTTAATTATAGCACAAAATGCCCGACTAGAACAACAAATAGTGACACCTTCCAAAATCTCAAGGTGACAACTTTAAAACTGCTTGATTTGTCCAAACAGTGTGAACCCACAAGAAAAGTACGTCCTTACAATCAAGGACCATGCACAAAAAAAACGTAATTATCGAACGTCAAAATGAGTTTCTTCTAATCATCTCAGGCAGCTGTTTACACTTCCAGAGGTGCAGTATCTGAGGTTGATAATTCTCAGTGATGCAATTGGTCAACATTTAACTTTAGAAAAACAAATGCAATGAAAATAAGACAACGGCATAAAGTAGTAAGTATTTTATTTACTTTTCAGGATTTAATATGTTTCATATGAAAAATTAAAATGAATACTTTTCCTCTCCATAGTTTAGGCACATTACAGAAAGGCGATAGTAAATGAGACTGTCGGTAACAAAACACATAATTGGAGCAAAGAAAAAGTGGAAACAAATTAGGCTAATGGACCCTGCACACCCACAGAGATGCTTTTAGTCTGGTTGATCGAGACCATTTTACAGGTTGATGGGAGTTCACGATGTCCCGCCATAACCGGTACGACAAACTGAGCAGCAGTCGCTCGTCACAGTGCTGACAGGAGGCCGATCAGAGAGAATAAGTGAGAGCGGCTGCGTGGGCGTAGCGTGGCTGTGCACGAGGTGAATGATGTGGCTGTGATGATGTGTACACAGATAAGAGCAATGCAGCATTGGAGGGAGAGCTCTCCATAAAGACAACGGAAAGAAAAAAACAACTGTAATATGGGGTAGCCTTGGAATCAATATGAGGCTGCAAACACAAGATGCTAAAAGAATGTAGTTGAGACTTTAAGTATTTACTCCTGTCCCTGCTTTAACCTTAGCATAAATCATACCCTATGGCTTAGGTGTGTCTCAGTGGTCAAACACTGACTGAGAATACTGAGTTTACATCATATAGTCATCACATAAAAGCAGAGGAAACACTTTCTGATACGAACCTGGAAAGATAACACCAGCCCAGCTACTGCTAAATCTGAAGCTCACACTCTACTCCACCCAAAGAGGCTCTCACTCCACAAACGAAGGACATGAAAAACCCCTGCACTTTTAAAACACGCCAACATTTTGCTCAGGAGAAGTCTGAATTAGCAAGTTAGACACACATGAGTCGAAGCTAGAAAGGGAATTTAAAGTTGGGAACGAATTGCAACACGTAGCATTTTACATTCATGTATTTTGCACATTTCATCACAGATAAATTCAGGGCCGTTGCAATTGAATGTTTATTGTAGCAGTGCGACTTAATCCTCAAAGCTTTCTGGGAAGCAGCTTTGTGCTGCGACAGAACTCCCCCAGGACTAAAACACTGTAGCAGCACAAACACAAAAGGTCCCTTATGTTTTTGTGCTGCATCAAAACGTTCTCATGATGTGTATATGGGATGTTTTCTTTACAACGGCAATGTAAACGCTCCCACTTGGTCAACAACACTTCATTTCCTTTCAAACACAGGGAACTCCTACCTGACAAATAAAAACAAATAAGCCGGTTGCAGTAAAACACATTTGGACCTCGAAACCTCTTCTTAGAGACATCTGTTTAAACTTAAACTCACAATGTGAAACAGTGACCGTTGTTCATTCACTGTAGTCAAAGAGCTGTGTTAGGTATGGGAATAGTTATGCTCAACAAATAAAAAATACAGAATAAAAAGCGGCCATAAATTCTATTACGCCTGAAATGTCAGTAAAAATATCCACATTTCTGAAATATTCAATCATAAATCACATAATCAAAAGGCTGCAATGTTAATAGCCTGACTGTATTTACAGTATGGTACATTTTTGAAAGTGACACATTTACAATGTTTCATGTCAAATGAGAGGTTAGAACTGTGTTCCTCAAACCAGCTGTTTTAGAAATGATCAGTTATCAGTATTGTTATTTTAGCCGTAACCTTGCAGCCAATGAACTATCTGATACACAAGATGACTGTGCAGCACTTAATAAGGCCCATTTACATTTTGGAAGAGAATGCAGGCTAAAAATCGTAAGGAGGAACATTTTGTTGTATTTAGGTAAGGATTAGTCCTGCGGGAGTGTTCACTAAGTCTTCGCTAATCAAGGGTAACCATTCAGACACTACCCTGATCATTATAAACTAAAATATCACTTGGACCTCAACCTATCGTAGGACAACGTGTATCCCTGGTCCGGCTTCATCACAGTGTGATGATGACATGATTGATGATAGGAGGAACTCAGGAGTGTGTCAGACTGGCTTGTAAAGGCGCCTGTGAGGCAGGAATATAGAATGATGTGCAGATACTTGGAATGTAAATTAGAAATAAAATGTATGCATGTGTGTTTGTGTGTGCAGATAATACGCTCTCACTTCTTCCAACACAAACAGGCTATGACTTCTTCCTGATGCCTTAAACAAAAAAAGGGTGAGATATTCCCCCAGGGTTATGGTGTGAGTTTGACTGGAGGCGGTAATTTCCTCTATGAAGCAGAGAGACATTACAATAGCCGTAGAGAGCCCTTGTGTTTTACACATATACATTTAAAAAATGAAAAGTCACATTATGAATGTTTTAAAGGCTTAAATAATTAGAATAATTAAAAACATGGAGAAAGAAGCTCTTTGAGAGCAGGTCAGCTGCTGCTGTTCTCCGGCCAACAGCACAGCAGGAATAAATACATATATTCATATACGACTAATAGAGAGAAGAGCGAAGAAACTTAACTGGGGAACAGTTTCAAACTGATACCTTTTATAACTCTCTATTTCCCTCCTCTTAGCCTCCAAACTAGGCAGATGTTGGGCACACCTAAAACCAAGAGAGGGCAGCCCGTCCTCTCACAACCAGCCCAGAGCGAGACTCTACTCCAGCCTGTTTTTGTTCTCCCATGAATGTCAATTTCTTCTTCCTGTCCCAACGGTCAGCTTCCTCTCAGCGGTCCTCCCTCTACTCTTGTGTCCGAGTCCCTCCTTCCCATCAGGCGAGTGGTGAGAGGGCTGGGCGGTGGGAGAGAGGGGGAGAGAGAGAGAGAGAGGAGTTGGTTTGGAGAATGGAGGGTGAGAGAGCTGCCTGAAATGTAGGCCAAAGCGGTGGTGGGCGTTTCCATGGAAACAGTGTTCACAGCAGTCAGTGACATCATCAGTACGGGGAGAGGCGACTGGGTAGGGGGAGGGGGGGGGGAGGGATAGACGGGTGGGGGGGTGCAACAGAAATGTGTCCTGATTGGCTTGGACTCAGACACGGTTCTCTCCGCCCACTCTGGTCCTCCGCAGCATCCTGAGGTAAAAACAAAGACAGGAGGATGTCTGGAATCTTCCACCGATACAAAACTCACCGCACAGGCTTAAAAAAACCTAGATCGCCTCATATGTACCTTGTTTGTCTGTTCTGGGGGTCCATGTGGTCCAACAGGGCCTCCTGGGACACCCTGAAGTCCTCCAGAGGGGACTGGTATCGGGACTCAAAGGAGCCCTCCCTGTAGGCCTGGGCCTGGGCCGGGGACTGGGGCACAGGGGACACGTTGGAGGACGTTGAGGACACGGACTCCCCCGAACGTTCCCGCCCAGATGGGGAAGATGCCGTCACTGACGCAGCCCCCACTGCGATGAACGGGCTCAGAACCTCCCCGTTTTCATCCTGAGAGAAACGGGGGGAGACGAAACAAAATGTCAACTCCACAGACCTCTACAGTGTTCATGGGACTGTGGTTATCTGTACACTTGGGACTGTATCCTATAGAACTAACATACAGGCTCATTTTGAAAGTAGTTAGATATATTATATATTTTGAGAAAATAGGGAAACGGCCTACTTAGCTCTGTCTGAAAGTAACCAAATCATCTTATCAGCACCTCTCAAACCTACTAAAATACACATATTATCGAATGCGTTTCATTTGTATATTAGACTGTTGTTGACAGAGATCAACACTGGTCTAAAAACAAAATGTTATGTAACATCCAACTTCAAATTGACCGTCTTAAACTTCATTCTTTAAGACAGTATGAGGGGTCTATTTTTTCCACCAGAATCTTTAACTCTTAGTGCTTTATCAAATGTGTAATCACTTTGTCTCCTCTTATTTGTCATCAAAAATAAAGAGAGAATTTGGTCAACATATTGCATGTTGATGTAGTCAAAGTTGGAGTTTAAAGACGTTGGTGCTGCCTCCTCCTCCTCTCGTCTTCTAGTCATAGTTTCCAATAACTAAAGTAACACTGGAGAGGACCACAACAATGTGAAATGTGTCAGCTAGCTTTGCTCATGTTTTCAGTGCCTGTAGGGTTTGTTGTGGGCGGAAGCATCACCGAGCAGGATTTGGTAAAGAACAGTCACTCACCCGGCCACTGATGATGTCCATGTGGACCAACAGGGAAGCCAGCTCCAGATCCTCATTGTAGCTGTTCTTCAGAGGGACTGACCGGTAACCTGGTGTTGCAGAAAGACACGTATCTTACAGCAATGATTCCCAACCGGATATAAGGGTAATTTCTGAGAGCACGTTCAATCTGTGTGTACCTGTCTTGAGGCTGTGAATGGGGAATGTGGCCTGAGCCAGGAAGTTTTGGTCATTGAACATGTCAATCTCATAAACCACAAAGCGCAGGAAGGCAAAGGCAGCGTTGCATATCGTGAACTCGAATGGCTTTCGGGGCCACGTGGGGTTCAGCCCGTTATCAGCTGGAGAGGACAAGAAGAAGATGGACAGAGAAGATTGAAAAATGTATCATCACTGGTGTCTCAACTGTAACAATAACAGTATAACAATTCTTTCCCCCAGTAACAGCAGTGACAACAAAAACATTCAGCAATAACTTAAAATGTCTAGACAATTGCATCCATGTGTAAAAATGCAGTATAATTACACTAAATGACACTGAAAGAAACAGGGGCTATGGAGTGCTGCAGGGATGACATATTATTGATTCCCGATTCCTTTAAGAAAAAGCCATCAGACTTTTTAATATTACACAAAATAAGCAGGAAAATTACATGTTTTTTCAGCAAGATGTTCTTCACTAATGAAAAACACTTTTTATGAATTTGAAAGCGTAAATGCAGGCCCAACAAGCACATCCGCTCCACTGTCCCATGAGCTGATGTCCCACCACCAAGCTAAAGACAGAATAGTGTTTGTTGTGTTGACGTCTAATGTTCCCGATGACGGCAAGTCTTTTTGTGTGGTGGGGAATTTACTGACATGTCGTAAACAAAAGTTGAAAATCTCTTAAACTTGTGTTAACCAAAGACCTTATTTTTAGACATCTGACTATACCCATTTGAAAAAAATACATACTTCAAGATAAAGGAGCTGCAAGTTCAAAAACACTGATTTAAGGATTTTAGGACTCATTCCTTCAAGGAGTCTTTTTTGCATTAGCTAATTGTGAACCACACTGCAGATAGACAGCAGAGAATAAAAGCATACTCATTATTTAGAATGTATGCTATATAAAACTAATGTTATCACTGTTAAAAGGTTTAAGGTTATTTGTATAGTTACATTTGAATTTGGTGTAAATACTTGTCTTTAGCATCCTTTCTTAATAACAAGAGTACAGTAAGTGGCTAAGAACATCAATAACACAAAGCGAAGAAACACATTTGTAAAAACTTATTTGAACAATGTTACTTATCCGTCTAAATCCTGATTACAGCTGTTTGAACTGTGTCTGATGTGTTCTCTTTGTATTCCCACACATGGCTAAGTTGTTTGTACAACTTCCTGTTTTTCTTGGAGCAGGAAATTGCACGAGGGTAATGTATCAAGTAAACAGTAACTACTCCTTCCTTCAGTTTTGGCAGAGTATCACTTCATTACTGGCAGACACACCCATAGTAAAAGTCAGAGTAACGCTCACCTTCTGAGTCAGTTTTTTGCTTGGCACTGTCGTAATCCGCCCCGCACACCTCGATCTCGATCAAAGGACAAACTATGCCGCGTCCGTGTTTGGGCAAGTGCCGGGCGCCCAAAACCTTCAGAAGAGGAGGGAGAGGAAAACAGGTTGCTCCTTCAGATCTTTACACATCTTTACACATCCCCTATGGCAGTCTGACACTGTTGGCAAACCATCACACACACAATTCAGACAACTGCTCTTGAAATCCTTGTGAAGTGTCACGCTGAATCTAAAAATATGTGTGTCATATCTGTATATTCAGATGTAACCGAGTTCTTATCAAGAGGAGTGTGAGCAGGGCTTTTAAAAGGACCTTATTTGGAGTTGTGTGTCACAGCTGCTGCTGCAGGACTTGACCTTGATAATTAACGACTCAAATCAGTGGCCGGCCAACAACAACCACCTAGCGCTATTTTTAGAACACGCGCATGCACCCGTCCATTTCACCTCATGCAGTGTCTCTTATACTCTCCCGCTGGAGAGGAGCACCTCGCAGTTTGAAAACAACTGAAGGGCAGCACTCGTGCGTGCGAACACAGTCCAAATCTGTCTTTGCTCTACCTCTATCTCGAGGGTGATTTGTTCGACGCCTCGTAGCGTATGCCTGTCGAAGGGATCAAAGTTGTCGTCCCTCATGATGGGCGGCTCCAGGACGTAGCCGCTCTTTCCGTTCAGCATGAAGAGAGCCTGGTTCATCTGCATGGGCTTGTCTGCACAGGGGGGAAGAGGAAAGGTAAATAAAAAAACGTTAAAAAGATTAAGAAAACAAACATAATCTTTGCTTTTTTATACAAGGATTTGCTACCCGATATCAGATTTGTCTGATGCCGATCCATGCACATATCTTTTTCCACTTAATTTCAGAGAACAACAATTCTCCCCTGTAGCTGATTTAACATATTACTATGGTTACTATTATAGTGATGGCTGATGCGGGCAAAAATACAACACATTTCAAAATATACACATCCCTGGACAAACTAAGAAAACTGTTGCCATCTAGGTTATTTGTGACCTGCTCCATCGAAATCAGTCGCCTTGACCCGAAGACACATTTTGAGTTGTATACACTGCTGGAAAGAGGATATTCCTAGCTTTCTAATGATATCAGGATTGTTTTTGTACTATATTAAGCAAAATATGTCACATTATATAATGACTGTCACCGAGTCATCATTTTGAGAAAAAGGCCTTCAAAGTTTTCTCTTCTCTGGAATCCATCGATCTGATTGGTTATTAGCAAATGATCAAAATACTACGGAGGGAAGATATTTTCGTTTGGATTACTGGTCTGGGGGAAGCTCGCGAGTGTGTGTGTGTATACGTGTGTGTGTGTTTGTGTGTGTGTTTGTGTAATTTTGCATTTGTGTGTATTGTGTTTGTTTCCCGGGGAAAACCCTCACGAGAAACCCCGGCTGTTGTTATGCCTGCTGTGACGTTAAGTTACTCGGTTCTCCGCTTGTAATTATGCCGTTACAAGCTTCAAAGTTGTATTTATCATCTGAATTTGCCGAAACACGTTTAATATCCTGAAAGCCAAGACTTTGTTTAATTGAAATCAGACGAAAACAAACTGTAACGAACCCTAATCTATGATTACTATACTCTTACATTCATAATTTCAGCCGGAGGGAGGGGGGCGGCGCTGCGGAAGAGCAGATTGCGAGTGAGAGGTGCCTGTCATCTTCCCTTTACAAGCTTCAAAAATGTATTTATCGTGTGATTTTGGAAATAAAAGTTTCATATTCTGAAAGCCAAGACTTTGTTTGTTTAAAATCAAACAAAACACCCAAACCCCGAAAAAATGGTTTTTTACGTAAATCCACGTTTATTTTGAAATGAGCCGTTGTGACTTCCGACTGATTTCGATAGAGCGGGTCACAAATGTTAAACATCTTTATTGTGATACCAAATGTCGTGCTATTTTAACAGGTTTTGATGATGCTGTTCCTGAGGCGATATTGAAATAGGATTTGGCTGATGCTGAGATTTGATTTTAAAGCCGTTATTTGCCGATACCCATTATCGCACATCCAGAATTTCATCTGCTCATACGGGACGGTTTCTACCTGCTGTCTGGAAGTTGAGTGCTACCAGCTGGGACCCACAGAGCCACATGGGCAGAGGGTCGTAGTTGGAGGAGTCTAGTCTCTGTCCTCTGGGGTAGATCCTGGACAGCTGCAGTCGATTGTACTGCAGGAACTTCTTCCCCTTGATCTTGTTGACGTACTTCTCTGCCTTGGTCTCGGGGAAGGATGACATGTCCCGGAAACAGGCCCGCTCTGTGCCAATCTCTACGGGAGGCAGAAACAGAGGACAGAATTTAATACTGAATTGGTACTATTCAGTATTTGTATGTGTTATGTTAACAGTTCAATAAGTGTGCATTATCCTTACTGTCTTCGTCAAATGGCACAGGCCTACAGTAGATGACCAGGTCGGATAATTCCAGTGCAATCTTCTTCCTCCTCTCCATCATCTTCCCCTCCTCCAGCTGTGCAGAGGGACACATACATTAAATACAGCTGTTCCAACAGTATCGCATGTCATTTCAAATCACCGACGCGAACACTGCCTAAAGCTTTTTTCCTCCCTCAACAAATACTGCTCAGGTAAAACAAGAAAGCTTCCAGGTGTGAAATGTGTAACGGTGTGATTTTGAAGAATGGCATTCCTGACAAACACCATATGAGCTCACTGCTTAGTGAGGTTATCGGTATTAAGGGGCAAACACGAGTCCTGACCTGCATTCTCTGTCAGCCATGTGGTAGATATATATCTATTTACCTTGGCCTCTGATGTCATTGTGACTTCACGGATCTTGAACACCCATTCCTTGAGTTCCTCCTGGGTGCTGGCAGCGACGTCCAGCACCGGGCCGGTCCGCATGGAGGTGCTCGGCACCAGGGAGAAGACATGAGGCCGGCTGCCCTTCCCATCAGGACGCACAACTAGAAATGTAAGAAAGACGAGTTGAAAACTTGCTATGAGGAGGACAAACACAGGTTCCCTTTCCTATTTGAGCTCAGACCAGACCGTGTTACCATCAGGAATATCAAAATCATTTTTATTTGCTTGCATCTATGAAAATGTTATAACATTTTATAAAAATACTAACAAATAACAAATATTTAAGTGAAAAGGAGCAATGGCAGATATAGAGAGAAAATGCTTTTGTCTGCAGGTTATAATTGTTTTTACAGAATCAGTTTAAACTACTGTTGAATTGCTTTTTTGTGTTTAAACATCTTAGTCTTTTGCAATCTGAATTGGACTTGCTTTTAAAAAGGTTGGAGGCAAACAAGGTCAAGCATAATAGGTACTTGCATTTTTCATTTGCAGTTTGTAAACACAACACTCAAAGTAGGCCCCTCCCCCTGGCTCAGCAAGGCTGATGGTACTCCACAGTGGGGGAAAGCCGACCCCAGATACACTATCATTTAAAAAGAAACTGGCATTTCACCTCTCTATATGTTAAAGCAATATATTAAATAATGTTTTTTGTCCATACCATGTCCCCCATGACTTTGGATACATACTTAAGAAAATATACAAATCTGTCTCTGCAGATACAGACACCGCCAATCACTTCTGGTGGGTCAAAGGGATTCTTTTTGTATGAGCCCATATATTGTTTTGTTGGAACATCATTCTCATTGTGCCTTCAAAGTTTAAATAATATAAACTTCGAGCACACGCGGTGTCTCACGGAGAGATAACGCAGGTCCTTCCTTCCTGCAGCGGTCCGACTGTATAACCACGGCCCCTGGTAGAGCCCCCCCCACACACAACAACACAGACTATAACACCCCTTGTTGTTAAATACCAACTATGTGCAATATTTGCAATATATATATATGCCGTTAATATATAATATATACCTGGTTGCTATATCTCAGAACTGTTACAGGATGTGTATTTTGTAAAATGTGTCCTTTTTATTATAATTTTTGTATCTTTAATATGTTTTTATGCATGCATCTTAGGTAACATTAAGCTGTCTTTGGCTCTTTTCTGCTGTAACAATGTAAATGTCCCCTCTGTGGGACTAATAAAGGTATTATGATTCTGAGCACATCAGCGAGTGGTGTGCAAGATAAACAGCAGCTCTGCCACAAGGTTCACCGTCATCACTTTCTCCACAATGGCTTCAACTGCTGTGACTGTGCCAGTGGTCATGTGAAGGAACAGAGTGTACGAGGATGTTGTTCAGTATTTCCCCGGACCACCACTAGATGGAGCCAAAGAGCCAAAGCAGAGCGGCGGGCTCAGGTATTAAAGGTGGGGTAGGTAAGTTTGAGAAACCGGCTCGAGATACACTTTTTGTTATATTCCATGGAATGCTCTTAACATCCCGATAGTAATGAATATCTTAAGTGCTTTGACAAAAAATCCATAAAAAAATGTCATCTGTGGAAGCCGTAATACTGTAAAAAGTACAACCAATCCGTTTAGCCGGGCCGGCTAAACGGATTGGATTGCCGCCCTGTCTGTCAGCCTTCCATCTCGTGCACGCACAAATGTATCTCGTGCCCTCATTGGGCGTGCATTGCAGTAGTACTTCAATGACTCGCCAGCAACAGGTGGCCACTTTCACCAGTCTGCTGACGTCATGTGCGCGTTCATGTGTGTTGGAGGAGGTGCTCTGTAAGGAAGTCTGAAGGAAGGGGCGGATTCTTTTCGGCTGTGTACTTTCAAATTTTAGTGCACTGGAGCCGTTTTCTGAAACTGACCTACCCCACCTTTAAGTGTGGTTAGAAGAGGCTCCAACAACACATGGCAGCATGTGCCAACACTAATGGGTGTGTATTGACTAAACAGTAGGATGTCAATAAAATACCAGATACAGAGCTGGGAGAAAAGCAAGGATAGAAATAAAACCAAATGGTGCAGAATGAATAATAGAAGAGGTTGATAATGGACACAAATGACGATAAAGCGGTGACTTTGCTCATGTAAAATAAAGAGGGCAGAAATGTTGTGCATGAATTAGAAGCCAAAAAAGGGGGTTGACCCTGCGCCATGGTGACAGAGTCGAACAGGAAGCGGAGAAGCCACTCACCGATCTGACAGGAAGACACGTCCACACTTCCTCTCAGCAGGTCTCCAAGGGGGCTGTTTTCTGTCATCTCCTGCATTGATGGAGAGAATGAGGATTAGGAAAGAAGAAGACCCAAACATTCTGTGGACGGTTGCAGGTGCACCGATTCCACTTTAAATATACTGGGTGTGTTCCTCACAGTTCTATCGGGCTCCACTGCTGATGGACTGATCTCCTCCACATAATTAGCAGGAAACCACAGCTGCTTCTTCCCTCCACAGTCACCCTTCCACCTGAGAGGAAAAACAATGGGAGGAGATGATAGTTGAAACAAAGTATACCTAAAATGAGTGGTGCAGTGATGAGGTTTGTTTGTAAGCTCTGTGGCAAAAATACATGTAAGATACTTAACAAGTTCTGATCAGCTCCACATATGAACACCGCATTGGGATTTCTTTGGTGTAAATCTGTTGCCAGAAGTAAAACGCTATCATTACTCTATAAACTAAATACATCATGGTCGCATGCCTGCATCACCAGCGCATGATGACGTTTAGTCGTTTATTTAGTCACTTCTGGACATTTACGAGTGGGTTAAGTACTGTAGAAAATACATCGTAGAACTAATGTGAAAAAACTCTGAAGCTTGTGTTAGCCACAAATCTTATTTCAGGAATCTAACCACAAACAATGTTTATGACTAAGAGTGGACGTGGTCAAATGATGAATCATTTCTGGGTTTTAGGATTCCTGCACCACTCTATTGAGTTGATATTAAAATGGTGGATTTTCTTTATCCTATCCTATAGTCGTACCCTGTATAATTCCCTCCGTCATAACGCTTCACTGTCTCTACCTGCACAAATATAATTGATCTTAATGGATAATTAAGAGTCACTCACCATCCCCCTTCCTGTTTGTCTACATTAGAGATAACAGCGTTCTTAATGAAGGAGAGCTCGTCGTCTCTCTGGGCTTTATACTCGTACATGGCTCTCACTGTGCACTGAAAGACAAGACATAAGGTTGAGACCCACATCTTTCTATATGCATGTCCAGTTGCAGATTTTCTCAACACAAACTCCTCCAGACTGAACACTCACCTTAAATGTTGGCATTTGGTTGGCCTCCACGTAAAAGCCTGGATTTCTGCCCTCGTACAGTGACCCGTAGTCCGGCTCCTATTGGACAACAGATTATGTTAATAAGCCCTCTCACTAGGCTGCAGAAGGTTTTACAACAGAGGGCAAACTACAGACAGACATTTGTTGTTTTTAAGATTCTATATTACTTTACACAGACAACATTATGTGCATTTCTAACCAGTGAGCCTCTGATTGTGTGGCGGTACTCACAGCAGTGCCTATCTTCTCCAGTGTGTCCTCATTGATGGGATAGCGCAGTTTCATTTTGCGGTACAGAGGGTGCTTCTCATAGTAGCTGATGAGATCTACCAGGCTGTCGAACTCTGAGGTGCCCAGCACCACGGTCTGACCTTCCTGCTGCACCCTGCAGTGCTTTATCTTTCCCTCGGCCCTGTGAAGGAAACAGACATTATGTCTTTGATCTGGATTCGAAACTTAACAGTGAATAAATGATGTTCTACGATTTATTTTGTCTCTTGTTGATTACTGCAATGGTCTTCACTAGGGTTGGGAACCGAAACTCGGTTCCAGATGAGAACCGATAAGAAAATGCCGGGTACCGGGTACCCATACAAAATACACAATTTCGGTTCTGCTTAACGGTTCCTAAACGCGGTAGACCCTGTATTCCAGCGGGTCCGTCTGCACCGCGGTGCTGCGGTGACCCGGTGGAATACAGGGCGGACCTGGAGAATCACAGAACGGCCGGTCGTCAGCGGGCCGTTGACGGCCGGCTCGGTATGCTGACGGCCGGCACCGCCCTTCATTTTTTTAAACGGCATCATATAAATTGCGCTGACAGGCGACAGAGGTCCACAGTTGCCCCGCAGCGATGCTCCCCCGCCCTCCCGTAGACATTTCACGAGCTCAGTCACTTCATAACACCAAAGATAGGTCGCGGTAAACACTCTAAAGTGAGGCTCCACTACACTAAAAAAGAAAAAGAAAAGGCAAAGTGTAATGCCTGTTAATAGCTTGCCACAGGCATAGCTCAGTTAAAATAAAGCACAGCTATTGTGCAATACATTTGTATTGCATGTATATTTTTTAGTAACAATTTCAGTTAAAGCTTTTAAGAATAAATATATTTTTGTTATCTAAACGTTTGACCTCTTTATTTTACAATTTTGGAATCGAAACGGGGGATCGATAAGAACCGGAATCGATAAGCAGAACCGGAATCGAAATCGGAATCGATAAATTTCAAACGATACCCATCCCTAGTCTTCACACATGTATTACCCAGGCTTCCATACATCTCCTTCAAAATGCTGCTGCCAGGATTATCAGAAGTTTGAAAAAACAAGATAATTTTACTATAATTTATAACCTTCTCAGAGTAGGGTTGCTTAATTAATAATGGCTTTAAAATCTCTGCCTGGAAAAAGCATTTATCTCTGTGATTTATATTTATTTGTTATTTTCGTTCTTGCTCTTGATGTGAAGCACTTTATAACATAGTTAAGAAAGGCGCTATATTAATAAAACATATTGCCTTTCTCTTCAGTCAACCTTGTATTGAACAAGGAAGTTAGAAAATAAATGATGATTTATGATGTAAACATGTCACACCTTTCAAAGGAATAGGATATTAAAAGTTACCTGAAGGAAATGGCAAACGAGTTAGCCTCCGCCCTCTTCCTCACAAGGAAAGCCCCGTCACGAGGGACCCTCATGAGCATGTTTTCTGCGTGGCTCCTGGAGAGGTTGGCATGGTACCATCTGGACAACAAAACACAGACAGGCGGCAGATGGTTACAGATGTTTCACTTCACACCTCGTGTACGTTCACAACTACCAGTCTACAATGTAAATCAACTCCAAGTAAAAGAGTCAATACAAATAACATGATTTAAAACATAAAAATGAATAAATCAAATAATAAAACGGATATAGCAGTAACAGCTGTCAGGCATTGTTGTAGCCTTGTAGAGAATATTTGTATCTTGATGAGACTCACTCTTTGCTCTCGTGAGCATTGGTCTGAGGCACCGGCTCTGTCAGCTTCATCTCAAACTCGTTGCAGCGCAGCGCCACCTGCTGGTAGTGGTTGATGAGGGCGAAGAGCGTGTCGAACACCAGGTTGTCAGTCAGGTAGAACTTGGGGCTGCCTGCCTCCTGACGAGAGTGGATACGACAGTGCTGAACCCGCCCCGAACGCCTGGTGCAAAGATTGGTAAGACGAAAAAAAATCAATCGAAAATTGTGATTCTTTTTAAAGTAAAGTAATAGTTATGACAGACAAGTTAATGAAAAACAAACACCCCCTTTGTTAACCTTGAACATAATGCCCTCTGCGTGTGAGCATTGTTCCCGTACATTGTGGTCAATCACATACATGCCGATTGATTAGCTTTGACGTTAACTCCGCTTTGCATAACAGCAGAGAGAAGGTGAATGATCACAACCCCATTCAATCAATGACGGAGTGGCACTGATTGATCTGCCACTGTGTCACTGTTAGTGCACTGCAGTGCACAACCCCACCGTCACCATCAGAGAGTTTCCCACTAACATATACAGAAGCCAAAGATAAGGGCAACAATGGCAACTGGCAATAATCCAATTAATGAAATGATCATGACAAATAAATGTTACTTTGATATAATCTTGTGTTGTCGATGACAAATACAAATGAAATTCTCTTTGTAAATATCAAAAAAATTTCAAATAACTATAATTCTCTACAGTAAAATCCACAAATGTGTAATTTCCCACCACTAGGGGCCTCACAACATTCGCAAAGGGACTACGACACAGTTATAGGTAGGGTTGGGTATCGGTTGGATTTTAACGATTCCGGTTCTGCTTTTCGATTCCGGTTCTTTTCGGTTCTCGATTCCGGTTCTTTGAGAGGGTAAAAATAAGTCCCGTGCCAATTTCACTGGGAGAAAAATATATTTATGAAAACATTAAGTCATATCTGTATTCCTATTTACAAATCACTTAATACTGTTTCATTTTGTTGCGGTTATTGAATACAATTATATTAAAAATAAAAGGATTCCTGCACCACTCTGTTACACATCTATACACATCCTGTAATAGCCTACACATGCTACAGCTGCCCAGCTGCTCACTGTTTGTAGTACATATTTTAATTTCAATAATGTATTTTCTATACCCTGCTTCATAAACAATACTGACATCCCTGTGCTCCTCCGAGTCTGTCTCACAGTCCGGGGATGTGAGGACAGCGCAAGGACAGACAGGGAGGCTGGTTCACTTCATAAAGGAAATGGCGGTCAATATTACAGCGGGCTAAAACGCTTAATAACCTTCATTACGTGTTAAAGAAAGAACATAAGAAAGGTTGACAAAGATGAAGCTGTTAAACGGGCAGTGGAGCCGCTGTGTGTAGAAAGAGGGAGAGGGAGAGAGACGCTGAGCTGCACCGTGCAGCGATCAGCTGATCCGGAGCAGAGAGAGAGAGCTGGGGTCCTCCTGTCCTCACAACTCTTATAAATCCACAAATCCGGCGAATTGTTCTTTTTTTTCTTACTCTGAACCGAGTTTTGCTTCCCAAACCTGCCACTGTGCTCGCTACACGCCCCGCCACGCCCCGTTACAGAAAGTGGTGAGATGCATTTCCTTAGGAATCGATAAGCAGAACCGAAACTAACATTTCTAAACGATACCGATGGAATCGAAATGTTGGAAACGGTTCCGAACCGGAACCGGATTTCGGTACCCAACCCTAGTTATAGGCGATCAAATGAGACATACTGTTGCTTTGGTTTGTTTGCAAATTGTTGGAAACGTGAAATAATGTAGCGAATGAAGCTCAACAAAATATAAAACATTTGTCTAGTCCCATATACATTATAGTACAGTAAACAGCATTCATGACCATTTCCTATCTATGTGATTAATTTATATTTTCAATTCAGTTTATTAATGTCAAACAAATATCTTTCAACTTAGAAACAAACACATAGAAGACTTAACAAATAAGTCTGATGGTAGTATCATGGTTGACGTACCAGAAAGACAGTGTGTAGTCTCCCACGAAGGTCTCGCTCTCTCGGACCAGGAACGAGCCGTCGGGCGCTCCGGTCTCCAGGCAGTACTCGGACAGTAACCTCTCGGCGATCTGCCGCCCGTCCCGCCCGGCGCCCAGCTTCCCGTGGAACCACTTCTCCGTCACATGCTGGTCCATACCGTTGGACGGCTGGAGGATTAGAGAAGAAGAAGTTGGTCAACTGATGTGAGCTCAGTGTTGGTAAAATTACAAATACTACTAAAAATACATAACTTAATACTTAACTTACTTTAATACGTTACGCAGAATGGGTATTTTCACAGTATTTTCTTATTATGGTTATTATATTAAACTGTTTTTATACATGCAAGAGTATTTTCGTATTGTAGTTTGTCAAAGTGGACCAAATGGACATACTTGGATACTGTGTAGATTAGTAGTACACAGCACATCGTGTGTTTTTATATGAACAAAGTCATTTTTAACTGAGTGTTAAATAAATGTAGAACATGTAGTGGAGTAGAAGTATAAAATAGCATGAAATTGAAATCTCAAGTAAAGAACAAATATGTCAAAAAAGTACTGAGGTACAATGCTTGAGTAAATGTACTTGGTCTCTTTCCACCACAGTGTGAATTAATTTGAACTGCATGCGTCCACCTTATTTAGCTGCACCAGCCTAAAATTGCCTCCTTGCTGATCCTGGTACAGGTTTTGAAAATATATATTTATTCAAGCTGTCCTCATCCTCTTTAAATAAAGCACTCCTCGAACATCATGTCAATTAAGTGCAATGTCTGTGCACAGATCCTGTTGCAAATCCGGTTGGTAACCACACAAGTGATTCTCATCTCCATGTGTATCAGCAGCAGATCCGGCCTACTAACCTCTCTGTGCTCCTCCTCATCATCGTTGCCCTGGTTACTGGAGGTCTCCTCGGAGTAGTAGATCTTACTGCTGGTCAGGACAAAGAAATGAGGGTACCACTCCTAGGAGAGAGAGGGGATCGACGGTTGGATTAAATATTCATAAGACCCATGTGTTGCACTGAGAAGAGGCCAAAATACACAGGAAGCTGCCTTCTTACAAAGAATCTAATCTAACAAGAAGATACGTTTATGAAGTAAAGGCCTGGTTCTTAAAACAAGATGATGATGTGTCAGTGCTTTAATATAGCTCCAATCTAAACACTTAGGTATTATGACACGACACAGGCTTGGTATAAAAGCTTCAGTGCATCATATTTCAAGCGTTGCATTCGTGCTGAAACTCAGCAGAGAAGCTATTTACATTTGATAAACATGCTCACATGATTAATGGGGTCTTCCAGGTACAGGATGCCATTCTTGATTGAGTTGCTGATATCGTTCTCAGAGTATGGAGTGGAGGTAGAAACCTCCTCGTAGGCACTGCCTTCTGCAAGCTTCTTATGCTGCAGCACGAGACACAGAAGAAGAAAAGTACATGCAATCAGAAATACTGTATATCCACTCAGGAAAAGTTCTTTCAGTCTTCATTTTCTGTTGAAGCTGCTCAGCAATGGAACTCAATCCAGCTACAATCAGAGACCAGACTACGTTCAGTTGATTTAAATCCCAATTCAAAACATGGTTAGTCAGGGATCAGCTCTGCCGACACTGACACACTCTTCTGCACCTTACAACCCACTGTATGTCTACACTGCCTGGGTTTTAACATTTTCTTTTGTTTTATTGTTCCGTTTTATTTTAATTTTATTAACATTCCCAGTACTGCATGTCGCATGGTTTTATTTGATTGAATTACTTTAGAAAAGCGTCTTTAGGGTGATTTACTAAATCTGTCCAGGGACTACAGATGAAAAATAGCCTCTTGGCTAACTCTGGCACATTTACAGAAATGTTGATTAATGTGCACTGGCCCTGTTAAAATAAAAATAGAAAAGCCTCCATTTATACTTTTTTTCTTATTTTTTTTACGTTATTATAGTGTTCTTAAAATAGTTCTCTATCTGTGTTTTTTTATTTTTGTTTTACTTTTATGTATGCACCAAGTCAAACTCCTCGTACGTGTCAACCTACCTGGTAATAAACCTGTTTCTGATTCTTCCGATTATAAATAAAATAAATAAATAAAATACAGGAAAAAAAGATCAAATGATTTTGTATAATTGGAGGCGTCTCCTGACCTTGATGAGGATCTTCCTCTTGAGCTGGTTGGGTGATGGCAGGCCGTCTGCAGCGATGTCCACCGCCTTGGTCAGCAGCATGTCCCCAAACACTTTCTTAAATTGGGTGGCCATATTCCTCTGCTGCACGATACTACAGTGGTCCTCGATGGACAAGATGATGGGATATCTGCAGGATGACCGAAGATCAGAATAAATGAGTTCCAACTAATAACCATCTTTGTTAAGGTGTGATTTTCTTATTTTTTTCTCTCACACCAACCACACTGAAATGATGTCAGCGCAGCCACACAGATGCTTCTGATTTAGATTTAGAGTGTGTGCCATTTCCTTATCTCCATCATCTCTCATTTGTTCACGATCTCTCGCCTGACAGCTTTTAAAAAGAAACGGAAATAATTCTGCTCAAGGAGACTCACTCAGATGTGACGAAGGCATGCTCTTTGATGGTGGTCAAGACATCACAAAACTTGATTTTTGTTGTGAGGGTGTGTCCGTGGTAGATGACTGGCATTCCATCTGGACCATCCCAGCAGTCCACTGAAAATAAACACACTTATTATAGACCTGCTGTGATACAAAAAGTATGTAAAAATGCAGATGATTTGTATTCTGTCAGGTAGTTATAAGAGATTTACACTCAGACTCACAGGTTTGTTTACTTTTCTATGAGGTAATGCGACCCTTTAACACACTATAAACCAGGCTTATTCATAGAAACCTGCTTGACAAGGGTTTTGTTTAAATGCCATATACAACAGGGTTAGGTAACAGCAAATGTGTGTGTGGGTAAGGGTGTGGCAGCTGCATAAAGGTACAACTGTCAGGGGTAAGAAGCAGGTAAGACAGTTAATTATGAGGTTGAATGTCAAGTGCAATGATTTACTGTACACAAAGTCTAGCGTGTGGATGTCGTGTTTACGTACGTTCAATACAGCGGCAGCCCATTCTCAGACAGCGAGCGTACGCCTCCAGGGACGACTCACTGGAAAACTGGTCTCCCGTCAGGTAGCTAAAAATAATCATGTTACGTCAATGTTTGCAAACAAAAAACACACTCGCATTGAACCAGTCTTTTAAAGAAGGCTTCTCGGGCCAGAAACACACACACTTTCTATAGTGGTGGCACAAACACATTGATACGGCTTTATCAAAAAGGCTCTCTTTCTTTGTTGACTGGAGTAAACACTTCTGACTCATTCAGTCGGTCAATTCAAACTTAATCAAAGGTTCATGGGAAGTTTTCATTCCGCTGCTCCAATGAGTATTGTTTCGCTCCTCGTACAGAAGGTCATCATTTGAACTGCCTTTCATACACTTTTCAATTGGAGGAAAAATACATTTTCCTGCTAAATAAACACCTGGGTCTCATTGTTGGACATGATTGTTGAATAATACACTTTTTTTCTGAAGTATGACGACAGTTTCAAACCCTCTTTGGTAAGAGGTTCTCAGAGCTGATGCCAGACCACAGTATTGGAAGGCGTAATTACAAAATGTTGAACTCGACAGTAGCTAGACATAATGAAATGTATGCATGAAAGCTCTATCCTTACGTGTTGTGTGAAGAGGAGATCCAGTATTGGGACAGGGGGTTGTTCATATTGTCAGGACACACTTGGTCCAGGGAGGAATCCCAGATGTTGTTCTCTTTGGAGAACAGGTATGTCAGGAGCTATACAGGAGTGAGGAGAGTAGTGAGAATTAGGCATATTCAAATGTATAGACTAACAAACAAGCAGGCTCAAGCGATGTGTTTACAGGACTTCTGCAATGAACTAAGGTTGTCCAAATTCACAATTTATTAAGTCTGCAAAAGCCCAATGCTAACTTTCTTCAGACTTTCACAAAATGTGCTTGGAGAGCAAACTCCAGATTTCACTCTGAAGACTACCTCTGTATAATTTCGATATGTGTGAGCTTTGGACGATGCAGATAACTGAGCATGTATCTGCACCACACCTTTTCTAAATATGTGGCTTTGTGACGAGTTATAAGTTGTCTTAAGCCTGTTCTCTCATAACTTAAGAGACAAACATTTAGTACAAAATAATAGATATCACAATGGAGCTTGCACATTTAATTGTAACCATGCATTTGCTTAACACCACTAGAAACATATACCTAAATACTTGGAAAAGCAGTTCTGGTGGGCATACCTTAACAAGTGGACGCATTACAAGTGAGTGGTGCTCTCCAATGGCCTCAGTCAGTCAAATGGAATTTATAAGTTTACACATACAGTTCTGACCATTTGGATTTGAAGTCAAATATGTGGTGACATTTGCCATCTTATCAAGACAAAAAAGAGCAGCAGATGTTTTTTACTTTACCCGGCTTCCTTAAGTGGACCACATTAAATACTAGTCTGCTTTATGTGTTATTCTTAATATGACCCATATCTATATATCTCGATCTAATAGAACATAACCCCTGGCCCAGACAGTACTACCAACTCATGCAGGCTGGCTGGCAGCAGCTTCCTCTTCTCTTTACTCAATCATAGCTTTATGGTGACCACAAAAAGCATCCCCTCGCTTTCAGCAGAGCTCTCATGCGGCGCCGCAGTCAATATCTTTTCTGGCTGTGTGGGAGGCGGTACTTAAGGCCGAGATCATGACTATCCATGTCAATTTATGAGCATCCCCCCCACAAACGGCAATAACACAGGGGGGCATCGGAAACTCAAAAATGTTTGCCATTAGTAAGCAAAAGAGTGAGAAACAGGGGGAACAGAAAGTGGGAGAAGCTGTGATGCGTGTTTACCTCGTCTTGGTGGAAATAAGGCTGCTCCACTTCTCTCAGGGGGTCTTTCAGGTAGCCGAACATGAACTCCTGAACTTTGCTGTTGTCTGCTGCCCACATTTCCTGGATTCACATACAAAACACACGTATTGGAGCAAGCAAATCAAAAAAATCTGTGGTGAAATCTCAAAAGGACCTAGAGACATTACCTTTTGAGACTCCAGGAGGAAGCCCTGAAAGTCTTCGAGGGAGATCTTCTGGTCTGGTCTGTCAATGAACCTGGCAGAGAAAGCAATGGTTTGCATCAGTACAGATATATGTGTGTGTGTGTGTGTGTGTGTGTGTGTGTGTGTGTGTGTGTGTGTGTGTGTGTGACAACATAGAGATTAACTGTGTGTGTTTAGTTTTGATCTACCTCTGCATAAACGGGATCTCCATCTGAAAGAACGGGGCAAAAAAAAGGAAATGTCAGTTTATTAATGTACATGCTGTCCTTTCAGTGTGTGTAGTTAGTCATGTAGATTGGCATCGACATCCAGTAGAGGGGCTGGGTTGTTAGTCACAGGGGGGTGGGGGGGGGGGCACTGAGGTCATCCATTTAATCCGACCCCAGCCAGCCAGCCTCCTCCTCATCCATGTGAGTGTGTCCTAATGGCCTCCACCAGAGGGGTTTGGTAGGTTTTTCAACTGGTCCATATTGATCTTGCAGCCATTTGAGAAGAGACAGATGGAGTGGGGGGGGGGGGGGGGGGGGGAAGGGTGCCTTGGCAGGGCATCAGATGGGGGGGTGAGAGTGCTGGGACAGAACTATCCGTGGAAACATAAAATGCACTTACGTTTTTCTGAGCATCAAACATGAGGCTGCGGTAGAGCTGAGCGAACTGGCTGAAGGACACGTCTCCATTTCTCAACTCGGAGTCCTAAAAGACAGGCAGAGAAATGGGAGGGCGGGCAGAAAGACTGTTAACGACAAATCATAAATCTCTAACATCATATTGAAGGGGGAAGTGGGCAGGGAGATGGAGTGGGAAGGTGGATTGTGATAAGCAGAAGGAGGTTACCGGAAGTTTCTCTCGGAGGAACCTCATGTTGGGCACCCTGTAGTTGACCTGGCTCAGCATGCTCTTTAGATCCTTACAGGATATCCTAAACACATCACATCACATAAATTAACAGGTTTTGTTGAGAAATCCAACACAACCATTAATACGCACGTACAATAAGACTTCTAAAAGACCTGGTTTTGGTGAAGTCGTTTTTTTTAAATCTACTACAAGCAGAAACCCTGCAAACACACACCGCTCGTGCTTTGTAAAATCTTGCCGGCTTGATTTTTTACTAAACAGCCTGGAATTTTTGGCTAGAGGAGACAATAGCCCTACAGCGTAACAAAGGCTTGCTCTTTCACCAGGGATGTAACAGACAAACATTGCTGTACATCTCCATCCTCTACAGTCTGTTTCCTGCTGCAGGAAGAGGTGCTGGTGTGCGGCTGAGGGGTTAGTTCCTTCACTACACCTCAACAAAACTCTCTCTCAGACACCTACCAGCCCAGCGCAGATAGTCTGCCCGCTCAAGATGTTAAACTAGGCAAAGGACACACAACTGGTGCAGCAAACAAATTACGTCCATTTCCTGTGAGGCTGATCTGATTATCTCTTGAGGTTAAATCTTCTAAATTGAGTTTGCTTACCTGTCTTCTCTGTTGCGATCAACGGCGTAGAACTGCTTACGTAACCATCTAAAAATAAAAAGAGAATTAAGAGGTTTAATGCATTGAACACAAAAAGGACATTACATTATCTCATGGTGGTCACAGCTTGAGATGTGATGTGTTTTGGTTACCTCTCGATCTGGAGCGGTGTTGGAGATTTCAGTGTGTCGGCCACAAGCCAGTTTAACCCCTTCACCCACATGGTCATCTCCTCATCTGACGTTGCTGAGGAAGAATCAACACTTGACTTAGAAATACTTTCTTTACTTCTCTTTTGGTTACCATTAACATATCTTAATGGGAAGGTTTTTTCTTTTCTGAATCAATGATCCTAACCAGAGGTTTTAAAGAGGAAGACTGTGCTTTTGTTCCAGGCTGCAACTACAGATCATCATTAATGAATCAGGTGATACTTTTCCTTATTACTTGTCTATGAAAGGCTAAATACTATTACAAAGTCTTCAACACACTTGTTTGCCTGACTGGCATACTAAAACATTTACCATTTAATTTAATGTTGTATATGAAAAATAAAATAGTAATTTGATAAGCTGGAACACGAGAATTTGGGGCATTTTGCATAATAAAAAGACTGAAAAGATTAAGTGATTATCAAAGTGTTTGCAGATTTTTTGTTGTTGTTGTCACTAATCCTTGGAGTTCTCACACTGTGCAAATTGTGAAGCCCTTTGAGGCAGGGTTGTGATTTACTGTTACAATATAATTTGACTTGATTGTTCATTAAAGCAACATTAAGGATGTATTTAGTCATAAACACACGTCTCACCATTACAAAAAACAGGTCCAGAAACAAAAACACATTAAATCATACAACCTGTGGGCAGTTTCTGGCTCAGGACCATATTAGCAGAAGTGTTCATGAATAGGATGGAAAGTGTAACTGAAAGTATGTAAGCCTTTGCTGTGCTTACCTGCCAGGCTGAGGGACTTAAGGCGGAACTCGGTGCCGTACAGGATGACGAAGCAGTGAGCCTGCTCCAGCCGCGTCGCAGAGTCCTCCACATAACGCTCAAAGTCCCGGGACTTCTGTCCAGGACGGATCTCCTTGATCTCTCGAATGTCAACTAGAGAGGCAGACACACACAGAAAGAAACAGTTAGAAAAAGACAGAACTTTCCCGTCATGAAATGATGGTTAAAATCACAATAATAGGAATATTCGGAACCTGTGACCCAAGATTTTCATTGCATGACTACACTGTAGCTGTGTTAAAAAAAATAAAACCTTTGAAACCTTTGATTTTAATAGGCTTCATCGTAAAATGTAAATAATCAAAATGATGTTCAATACGCTGAACTGTTAGACCCGATGAAACTGTTCCTATGTGTAAAACAGAACCCTAAATAACTGATTTGTTATGATTCGTCACAATCGGGAAATATTAATTTGGATGGCAGAAATTGGCAATGGAACCCTTTGATCATATCTTCACAAAAACAAAAATAAAGTCCATAACTAATAATACTAAATTGCTTCAATCAGCACACTGTTAAATAATTTAATAACAAGTGATTTTGATTTGCCTCGAACAGTAACAGCATAGAGACAAACACACGGCGAGATTGAGTATCTAAAGGACCACCGACCACATGAAAAGCTGAAGCTACGACTTAAACCACAATAAGGTAGACTTCCAGTAAAGACCTTCAGTCGAGACATTGTTGATATGGTTTTCAAATCAAGATGATGAAGTTATTGACCCTAAATAAACCCCAGTTTGCAATTCACAAGTGAAATCAACCAAAACCACAGATTACTAATGCGAAAAACAAGAGACGACACATTTGTCACAGCCTGGTTAAGTATCTACAATAGAGATCAAACACATCTCAAACATTTTGTACCTGGGTATGTGCGACTAAGAGTGCTTGCAATGCTTTAAATATTTTATGGTGCAAAGGGCATTTGACAAGGCATATGCTTTGCAACTTAACAACCCTTCCTACAAAGCTACTCTATATACAGTATATTTCCTCTACATTGGATAAAGAAGCACTGCATAGTCCAAGATGTTGTTGTTATGGTTTATCTTTAGAAATTATGCAAGTGAAAAAAGAACCTGTTACAATTGCCTGTATTGACGGCAGAAATATGCACTCAAACTTCACAAGAGCGTAGGCTGTGAAGTAGCTCAAAGGGTTTTATCAGCCATGTATTATAAAACAGTTTAAGACCTACAGCAGGACACACACACACACACACACACACACACACACACACACACACACACACACACACACACACACACACACACACACACACAACACACACACACACACACACACACACACACACAACACACACACACACACCACACACACACACACACACACACAGCACACACACACACACACACACACACACACACACACACACACACACACACACACACACACACACACACACACACACACACACACACACACACACACACACACACACACACACACACCACACACACACACACACACACACACACACACACACACACACACACACACACACACACACACACACACACACACACACACACACACACACACACACACAGCACACACACACACACACACACACACACACACACACACACACACACACACACACACACACCACACACACACACACACACACACACACACACACACACACACACACACACACACACACACACACACACACACACACACACACACACACACACACACACACACACACACACACACACACACACTCCTGCTCCTGCTCCTGCTCCTGCTCCTGCTCCTGCTCCTCTTCCTGCCCCAGAACCACACATCCTGTGCTTTTGTCGCCTACACACCACATCTGTGCTCGTGTGTAGGTGATCATGTGCGTGTTATTTTCTCAAGCATTAGAAAGGAAATAAAATATCTTCTTACACATAACTTTGCAAAGTTTCTAATCCTCCAATCGTTTCTCATATCTCAAACTGACTTCACCTGCCAGATGAGTGTTGCCGATAGGAAGACTGCTCTGACAGGTTCAGGTGTTAGAAAACACTTTGACATTTGAGTCAAAATATTTGGAGGCAGCCTCAGACAGATGCAGGAAATAAAGAGATAGCCAGAGGTGTATCCTTACCAAAGGAGATGAGAGGAGGTATCCTGCAACACACTTCCTCCTTACTCCATCCTGTCTTTCACACTTTTTATATCACTCCTAGCCAGGGCTGGGTTTTATCTTACATTGTCAGATATTACTGGCTATTCAATAGCTGATTTTCAGATTCATTACTTGGGAGCTTTTCACATGTTAAATGTCTAAACATATACAGACATACAAAAGAGTACAATAAATGATCTTGTGCTTTGACCGGTAAAATATGCTGAAGACCGGCAAATCTAAATCTCTCCGGTCAAAATGTCCGGTCAAAATAATTTCCCCTTAGCGCAATACCGCATCAGTTGCGCCACTTAAGAAGAGTATGTGACAGACAAGAATAGTCAATTCTAATGTCTAACGGCCCGTCCACACAGCGGCGTTGGAAGCTTCTTCCAACGCTTCTGCCCATTCACTTTGAATGGGGTGACGTCACTTTTCGCCAAACTGCATTGTGGGAAGCAGAGCGGAGCTTTCCTGGCGTTTCAGGCTGCAAAAGTTGAGCAATGTTCAACTTTTGAAGCTTCTGAAGCTTTCGGTGGAAGCGTCAGCCAATCAAATCATATGCCAGTACAAGCTCTAGCCAATGAAACCGCTGCTTGTGTGTCAGGGGCGGGAGATTCATGTGATTGGTTGTTGGTCAAGCTTCAGACACGCATGCCGGCCAGCTTTTTCCAAAGCCGCTGTGTGGACGGGCCGTTACACTTACGGCCCGTCCACACAGCGGCGTGCGTTGACGCTTGCCGGCGGGCGTGTCTGACACTCGACCAACAACCAATCACATGAATCTCCCGCCCCTGACACACAAGCAGCGGTTTGATTGGCTAGAGCTTGTACTGGCATATGATTCGATTGGCTGACGCTTCTGCCGAGGCGTCAAAAGTTGAACATTGCTCAACTTTTGCAGCGAGCCACGCCAGCAACGCTCCGCGTCGCTTCCCACGATGCAGTTCGGCTAAAAGTGACGTCACCCCATTCAAAGTGAATGAGCAGAAGCGTTGGAAGCTTCAACGCACGCCGCTGTGTGGACGGGCCGTAAATGTGGAGAAAGAGATGTCCTGGATGGGTTGATTGTGCGTTGATCTGTTGGTAATGCCTCGGGGTTCCGGTGGGCATGTAAACAAATACATAATGCTGCGCTCTACTTTGCGGCCTCACCCGGTTGCATAGCGACGCTTATTGTTTAGGTGTCTTGATAAGCAGGTAGTCATATCATTAGCTAGAACTAGCTGGATCTGATCGATATGGACATAAACGCGAGTCTAATCTGACGGGAGAGAGAGATCAGCTGCTGCTGACGAGTCGACACGCAGCTCTGCATGATCACATGCAGCGGTGAGCGGACAAAACACACACTTCAGGTTAGAATATCACACGTAGCTATTTTAATTACCTCTCAAACTACCTACACTAGTTATAGATATGTATATTTGTATTATATTTATATATTTACTGTACACTTTTGAATAATGTAGTTAATCTACTATAATTAGTTTGTTTAATATCGAATCATATCAATTTGTTTAAAAGCTCAATAAATAACAAAGAAGACCTTTGACCGGTTCTTTTCTCATTTTGTCCGGAAGATTTAAACTTTAACGGACATGTTGACCGGCGAAAAAGAATTCTAATGGAAACTCACGGCTTAACCGTTGGTCATGTTCATTTCTTTTTACTGTTTTGGTATTCTTTATTTGAGTCTTTAATCAGGGAAAAATGTCAAAACCTTTCCAAATTCCAGTTTCCTAAATGTGAGCATTTTAAGGGACTGTGATAAATGCAAATGCAGACCACAATGTTCTGATTGCCTAAAAAAAGTAAACTTATTTACTCATATTTTTCACTTATTTGAATGCTTATCGTGTTAGTTTCACAACATTTAGATTTTAGTCTTACAATTAATTTAATCGTAGAAAATAGATAAACAGGTTAAGCAATAATGAAAATAATCATTAGTTACAGCCATAGCTACTTTAAATGTTGAAACACAGAATATATAAAAAGCTTTACTGTATATTTTCTAACATTAGACTGAAGCTGATAAAGACATTCGTATTGCAATTTTCATCGCCTGTGCAACCCAGCGAGTGAAAAGTTTCAGTGTGTGTTCACACGTCAGCTGATCCATATCAGCTCCTTTGAAATCATGTTGGTAAAAGTTAAACAGAGGATTTCCCCCCCTGCCAAAAAAACATGGATTGTGTTCCCCTTCCAACACATTTCAAATGGAGCACGTCAGCTGTGGAACCGCTCATGTTCTCCAGTCACAATCTGATCTTTACCATCAATGTTTTCCTACAGATATTTTAAAAGTACATTCTGATGCCTGCAGGCTAATATCTAACTAATTAGTCGATATATTTATCACAAAAACCTGTGTCATTCGGAAATGACATCAGACTTTTGTGGGAGGTATGGAAAGTGCAGCTTAGATGACAGCCTCAGAAATGACAGATGTGTGCTGGGAATTCAACCCTCATTGACAATATTAAAAGAAGGTAAATTAATTCATTACAATGTTAATTTCTAAAGAAATGTCCAGGAAAAAGCTGACGACATTTAATATCTATTATTGTGAAATGTTAACGTTATAAATAACTATTCACAGAACTGGAATACAATTGTTCCGTTTAACTTTTACTGTATAATCACTTGAAACTGTTACCTTAGAATATGTATCCATATAGTGAGCAAAGAGGTATTTAATTGGCAAATCTGCAAACTATTGTCTCAATTAATCATTAAGTATATAGATTGTAAAACACTGGGGTAAAAGTTTTAATCCCGGTGTCACAGTCCACAGATTAAGGTTTACAACAATATGAAACAGCCAATACAACTGAGAAGTTCTAATTAAGGTTTATCCTATTATCACCAAATCAATTGATCGACGAATATTCTCGTAATATAAAGCCATTAATGTTCAGAATGATCAACTATTACAGTTATATGAGAGAGGATATGCTACTGCGACATTAGCAGATCTGTTTTACAGGAGTTGTAGCATGCCATCACGACTCAAAGCTGTGGGGGAAATCTGTGGTCTGTGATTTAGCTGTTGTTTGTTGGGTTAGTTCTGCAGGGGACTCTCGGTGTGAGTCGGGGTCTAACAGAGCTCTGAGTGTGACTTGGACATACAGACTGAGTTCTTATTCACTGCTTTTCCAGAGAAGTGTTGTTGAAATGTGAACACAGAGCCACATTCAGGCCCATACTCATCAACTACATGTGTTTCTGTAACATTATAAAAATGTGCTCTACACAATTCAGGTTCTTGTCACGCACATTCACGAAGAACTGTTAACGTATTGTATACCATATACACAACGTTCTCCTTGTCCTGTTTAAGATTGTTTGCATAATATATCAGGGTATTTGTCATTTTATATTCTTGTAACATATATGATGTGCTCAGCCTGACTGAAACTTATTTTATTAAGGGCGATATTAAAGAAAAGAAAAAAAGAAATTGGTTAACACTTAACCACAAAAGAATCTTGATATGGATATCTTAGATGTGTTTTTTAAAAGAACTACGAATGAGATACAAACTAAGTGGGACATTTTACAGAAGGAAAAATATAGCTTTACGCCGAGAAGATATTTCGGATTTGCTGTTATATAGCTAAATGTCCATCCATCCATCCATCTTCTCCCGCTTATCCGTGGTCGGGTCGCGGGGGTAGCAGTTCCAGCAGAGAGCCCCAAACTTTCTTTTCCCTGGCGACATCAACCAGCTCTGACTGGGGGATCCCAAGGCGCTCCCAGGCCAGCGAAGAGATATAATCCCTCCACCTGGTCCTAGGTCTACCCCTTGGTCTCTTCCCAGCTGGACGTGCCTGGAACACCTCCCTAGGGAGGCGCCCAGGTGGCATCCTAACTAGGTGCCCGAACCACCTCAACTGGCTCCTTTCGACGCGAAGGAGGAGCGGCTCAACTCCGAGTCCCTCCCTGATGACCGAACTTCTCACCTTATCCCTAAGGGAGACACCAGCCACCCTGCGGAGAAAACCCATCTCGGCCACTTGTATCCGCGATCTCGTTCTTTCGGTCATGACTAAATGTACTTAAGGCAAATTCTTCATTTATGTAAAGGTATGTTGATCATCAAAATACTGTACTGCTCATTAGACCTTGGCCAATAAGAGAATTTCATGTTATGTTTACCTTCGCCAAAACAGTCGCACTCGCAGTACATGATATTATCTCATGGATCATCAAAATAAGCTTTAAAAGGTCTTCCAATGGCACGAAACATACTGGACTGACTTTACCTTACATTTAGCTGGGAACCAAACACTTTTAAAGCAGGACACATATCTCTTTTAGTGAAAACAACTATTTTGATTGAACAAATCGTAAAAACAATATCAACAGTGCGTCTGTTCTTTCTGCCTTGATCATTTCTTAACTTTTTTCAAAAATAAATCACGCTATATTTTTCACTTCTCTACCGTAATATCAAGCTCGAAGGCTTTTTAAGTCACTCATGTCATGTGAAGAGGTTCAAAAATGATCACCACCATTTTTCCTCAATTGCCTTTTTTTGAGTGCTCCTAATAATCACAGATACTATATCGTCCATCCCTCGGCATCATGGCCAAATACAACCAGAGTTGTTCATCGGATAGCTACTTTGTGGCGTTAAACTTAAGCAGTGCTAGGCAGTGGAATCAGCTCCTGCAGTCTTTGTTTGACATGAAAACTATTTGTAAACATAAGAGGATCTGACGCTGTGGTGGGCTCCACGGAACAAGATGGGAGGTATCACTACCAGAGCAGCAAAGTTAATTATAGCTTGAGTGTAAAAACACAAGTGGAAGCTCATTCATAAAAAAATCCTAGAAAAGGCTCTTTTACAATCTACCTATTTATATAAATAGTTATCGCCGCAATAAACCACATTTAATGTACATTATTTAATTTCATAGTCTGTTCTTGTACATATCATATTCTATTTACATGTATATAGACTTATTGCACTATTATTTATTATTGAATTGAATGAATTTAGTAAAGTATGCGTCTGTTTACTGTCAGGAGGATGAAACAGCAAAAACATTCAAACATGATTCTGAGTAATGTGTGTTTTACTTTATTATCAGTAACAGAGACTGGAAAACAGAAGTTTGCTCTGGTCCTCCGGGAATTCAGTGAATGTACAATACACCTGTGTGATGTTTAACTACAGTCTTGCCAGCATCAAAACAAACAAACACTCACGTGCAGCATTATGTGGAGTTTGGTCGTGTTAAATATCCAGCCTTTGTGTTTTATAACATGCAAACACTCTTAACACGTCTGTTATCACCAGTTATTCTACAAGACCACATCCTGCTCTGTCAAGCCAGACACACATCTTATTGTGTCACAATATATACACAAGTTGAGTAAGATAGGCCAACATATGAGCAAAAAAAAAGCAGAAAAGATCTCAACAAATAAATACATCTGGGTGGGAAAACATGGAAAATCCACTTTGATTAAAAAACAAAAAGCTTCTCAGAATGTTGTATTTGGAAACAAACTAGAGAGCCGTTTCCACAGCTAATGCACATCACTCTCACACGTTCTCAAATGATCACACACTTCCAGTAAAAGCCTTCATATTCTATTTATGTAGATTAATAAGCCGCTTGGGCCAATTTCACCTCTCCAGTAGTATCAAATTGCAGCTCTGAGCTCATGTGTGAGCAGAGAAGATCATACCGCTGTGTGAAAAAAACTAACGTTTTGTATGCTCTTTTTGCTGCATCCGGAGCAGAGTGCAGCTGTGCACAAGGCATCCTGCTACCGAGAGACAGACGACTTAACAACTCACTGAAGGCCTGCGTGTCCTCAGTGTGACGGGCTGTTTGGTTGAAGATTAACCTGAATTTCAGATTCCTGGTAAACTACAGTATATTCATTTGAATGTAAAAAAAGAGTTGCAGGATTTGTTCTTTCTTCCTGTAGTCGACCCTGCATTTATACCAGACATGTGATGTATCTGGACAACAGCGGCATTTCCTTTCATGTCTGCCAAGATTCACAGCTGTGCTGTCAATATATTTTATAATCCTATGCTTTTAATTGAGATGGAATACTTTCAGGAGCTAATCAGAGTAATATAATCTTTCCTGTTTTAATAATAAACAATGGTGTTGTTGTGAGGCGGTCTTGAATGACTTGTTTACCTTTTCCTTTCCACATTAACAATTCCCATTTCTTCAAATGTTACAGCATGTAAATAACTTGTGGTCGCAATTATTAATGCACTAAGTCAGAGAGTGATATTTAGTTTCACCAAGTCCTTTTGTTCTATGTAACATCATTCCCCATCACGTCGCCAGCACTAACCAGGTATTTTGTGTGCCATTCAAACAAGCTCACAACACTGTGTACTTTCCATATTCCTGAGTGAATAAATCAACCAGTTAAGGCATGAATACCTTCTCATTTATAAACAGCAGTCTGGAGCATGACTACCTGTTTGTGTGTATGTTTGTGTCTGCACACTACTCACCCTCTCCCTCTATTTTGTCCGTGCCACGAGTCCAGATAATAGTCCTGGTCTCCAGCTTGACTTGAAATGTCCGCCTCTCTGGCCGCTGGGACTTCTTAGAATAAAACAGTGTCAGTACAGTCCCGAGCTCCAGGTCTCGGTACAGGTTGTTCATCTCTGTGTCGTTGTCCATCCACGGGACGGGTCCGTTTGAAAAGAAGCCTGAGGTCCCCGCCATGTTCACTTCCCCCGTTTGTTGTCCGTTTCCTTTTAGAACAATCTGCTCAGTCCAGGCCTAGGGATACCTACAGCAGAAGAAGCGGAGGGGGGCGGGAGCATGAAACAACAATTCACAAGGGACTTCTCAGTAATTCACACACACATTATACAGCAGTATGGCCTGTCAGGGGGGCCCGTTTTAAATAATACTGGAAACTTCACCGTACATACACTTGTAGACAAGATGTCAACAGTGTATGAGAGAAAACTGATTATTAGATATTTTAAATACATTTAATCTTCCTGTAAAACACATATTTTCTACAATTATTGTTTTTCTTCTACGCATATTTTGAAAGATATGTAAAGTTGGCCATTAGAGGCATTAAGCCTGAAACATGCTCGTTCATAAAATCATATTCAACCCAAATATATTGTGAGTGATCATTCTAGGCACTCCCGACAAAAAGATGACCAGGAGCACATTTTACACTCATTTCTGAATGCTACCAGGGATTCAAATACTGTAATACTGTAAAATAGTTCGACATTACATAAATAAAGATTTTAATATAATTTTTGAATGAAAGTTTCACATTGCTTGTTTTACATGAATATGAACTGATTTCAGGTTATGTCATAATTGGGATCTAACTGAAAAACCCAGAGAAAATAAGAACATAATTTGGTAAATAAATAAGCATATAGAAAGCATCTCCTCAAGCTATGTAATAATTTTGTTTTAAAACGAAATAAAACTGTGAGTAAAGTAGGCCGATAACATATAGGATGGTATTGATTTTAGGGTGGGTTATGTATAAGGTTACTCAACACTAAGTACAGTATTAAATCCCAAAATAAACGGATCTATCATTAACAGTGATGTCAATACATGACAGATGCAACATTAAAACATCAGGCGAGAAAGGAGAAAACGTGTTGATTTAACTTTCTCTCCAACATGATTGCACCTTTAATCCTACATTAGCAGCGGGGAGGTTTAATCGCATTTAGACTGATTTCTAACACCAACAGGCCTGTAACCTGCTGCCGTCCGTCCCACAGGGAAAATAAAGTTTCCTTTTGGATTTAAGCAGCTTCACGTTACTGGGAATAAAGCTGTAGACGAATGGTAGCAGAGAGTGGGATAACAAGAAGGCTATTTTCACAGCGTGGAAATGGGGCCGGTGTGAGCTAGCATTTCGCTGGGCCACAAGGAATTATCACTGTGGGGTTTTTAAACCTGAAAAAAGGGGAGCAGGTAGCAGTAGCTATTCTGAAATGTCCCCCCCTCTCTCTTTTCAGCTAAACTAGAAAACAACACGTCGGCTGCTGTGCTGTACCTACCGCCGCAATCTCGGCCCGACCGCACATCTCCTCTCACGCTCCCGTCGGTTTTCCCCTTCTCCTTTTCCCCCCACACAGCCCAGTTTTCCAAGATTAAATCATAGCTGGGCCCTGGAAAAGCGCTGCGGTCCCGACGACAACAATCCCCGTTTCCTCTTGTGCCCTCCAGTCGTCCATAGAGAGAGGCAGGCAGACAGCGAGGACCGTGGAGAGACTACGCAAGTTTGTCTGCTCTCAGATCCAGCTCTTCAGGCCCTTCCCCCCCAACCAGCATCACTCTGGCCAGAGTCAGAAACCAGGCTTCCGCTGCGGATTTTCACAATAAATGTCGTATCGAGGAACTTGTTTAGCCTACTGTTGGAACTAAGGAGAAAACTGAACCCTTTGCAGATTCTGATTCATGCATCATATCTTGTCTTATCTAAAAGAAGAATAAGTACTCATATATTGTACTTAAGTAAAAGTACTCAACTCTAGGAATACTCTTTTAAAAGTCATAGTACTGCATTCAAAATGTTACTCAAGTAAAAGTTCAAACGTATTGGCATACCATTTTAACTTAAGTACCAAAAGTAAAATTACTCACTATGCAGATTGGCCAATTTGAGTATAATATGAAATGTTTTGATTATAATTATTGATGCATTAATTTTTTTATCAAAGCTCGTAAAGGTGCAGCTATTTTTAAATACTTTGTATACTGCAGGTTGGCTTGTGTTACTCCAGGTTGAACTAAGTCTTATTCAATTGTTGTTTATACTTCACCAAATCTGCAAAGTAACTAAAGGTATACAATAATTGCAGTGGAATAAAGATACACTTCTGATTTGTTGTTGTGTAGTAAGTAGCAAAGTAGCTTCTGATAGACTTCACATACTTCTGATTTGTTGTGGGGTAGAAGTACAAAGTAGCAAACAAATTTAAATACTCAAGTACATTACAAGTATCTCAAAATGGTACTTAAGTACTGTACTTGAGTACACTTTGACTAACAAAAACAGTATCACGACTCTTGCAGTATCAGTATGGTATCAGTTATTTTTGGCTTGGGTCATTTAAGTCTGGCGTTTGAGACAAGTTGAGTATTTCAATGTTCTGCTCCCAAATACTTCTACTCCACTTCATTACAAAGATACAAATTGTACTTTTTACATCAGTACATTTGGAAAGCCCCTTTTTGACCCCTTTTCAAGAAGTATGTTAACTTTTGATATTTTCAATGTTTATTGCTGGTGTTAATTATGTGCTTTTAATTTGGTTCTTTTAATTTCATACAATTAGGTTACTTCCGGTAATCTTGCGTGTCACCCGTTGGCTTGACGCATCTCATGCCTTCAGTAGGAGAGCCTGTTGTCGGCCTCTTAAAGAAGCATACCTTCTGATACTGCTGATACTGTACTTCATAATAAACTCACTCCTCAACCTAACATCACAATATGTCAACTTAACAGGTAGCTTTGTAGCTATCCGCCCCTGTAACAAATACAGTAATTTAATGCAACAGCAGTACCACCAATACCAGCCAGTCATTGGTTTCGTTCTTTAAGTTATTACATTCATTAAGGGGATTACATTTTTTTCAATTTAAATGAGAAATACATTGTGAGACACGTAATTGTGAATTGGACTATGACCCCTGACTTGACTAATCACTATTGATTAGATCTTTAATGGGATTATGTTTCTCTTTGTACACTCACGAAACATTGTTTTGTTTCAATCCATTTAAATGTATAAAAGGACAACACAAGGACAAAAAATACAAGGTCGATGTTTTATTTTGAAAACTACAAAGCCCAAACAAAATAAGCATCCAACCAATCGCTGTGTGATAAATGATCAAATACCAATAAATATTAATGGGAAAAGTTGTTATATCCATTCACATTTGGGAATTAACGAGGACACTGATAGACAGGCTGTGATTTATTTTGGCAAAATCCACATACCTCTTTAGAAAAGCGTCTGTCTCTTTTAGCTCTAGTACAAAAGACATGATCCTGTACTACAGCTGTTTCAAGTAACCAAGAGGAATGTCACCATTGTGAAACTGTGGAAACAGACACACACAAGTTGCATATAGGCAATGAAGAGCTTCTTTTGGACAATGCATACAGCACACGTTTTAAAAAACACTGAATCATAGTTACTGAAAAATGACAAAACATATGTACATCCCTGAAATAAACAGCAAAATTAAATTAAATGGAAAGTAAGATGACATTCTGTGTGCTAATAATTATATTATCATAGTGCTAGGGTTTCTATTCTTCACGCTGTCATCAGTCTGTCCTTTCATTGTACCAATCTTTCACATGATTACATACATTGAAATTCATCCTACTGTCTTTCATGTTGTCCCTCACAATCTCCCATACAAACATTTATTATTTCATTATTCTATGAGAATATAGAATGTCTCAATATTTCCGATGGCTTACAAATTTCAGTGCAGTCATGTCTGACAAAAGATAATACTAATGTGTTCATAGGGGTTTTATTATGGGCAGATAGCTGCAGCTACATACACACTACTGTAATTTGTATGTGCCATTTGGCTTGGTCAAATGGTTGTGAAGTTATTTTCCTATATTCACAAACAAATCCATATATATACAGCACAATTATTAAACGGTGGTAGCAGCTGCAACAAAGCCTCCTCCTTCACAGCCCTGCAGTAACCACACAGTGGAGTCATTTGACATCAACTACAAACCATCTCTACAATCAAAGGCATGTTAAAATAAGGTAAAAACATCAAGCATGTTTAAAACTCATAGTCTTTCTCAGCCATGTCAAGCGCCCACGCAAACTTCTCTCTCTGGGTTTTGTTGTAGATCTTCTCGATGGGAACGTCCCATTTCTTGCACCTGGAGAGGAGGGAAGACGGACCAGTTAAAGATAGAAAATATATTGAGCTTATCCACTCACTGGCTGCAACACTGCTCATTAGTCAGTTAAGAAATCAATTGAGAAGTGACAAGGAGCCAGTTGTGACTGAAAATCTTCAACTACTCGGCCCATGTGCATTGTATTAATGTTGTTTGGACTTCATTAGTGACCATTTCTTGTTTACTACTTTTGTATTGAACTGGGAAAAAATCCCCATTTTTTTTTTACTATATCAGTGTTATATCTTCTCTAATTTCTACTTTGATACTTTGAGTGAAATTACACATTACACTAAGTTACACATTACACTAAGTTACACATTACACTAAGTGGCAGCCAGCCATAAACAGTGTTTGATTTCTCTTTATGCAAAGGAAAGTTGCTTTAATTTCTACTTATGTCCTTTAGCACAGGCCAGGGTACACTGTCTACTGTCACCCTTATTAAAGCAAAGGGGAAAATGCTTCCCTGTGGCAGGTTGGTGGCAACATTTAAAGCAACTCATAATTTGGTCTTCATAAAATATCCACCGTTGCCGTTTAAGTAAAATCTGTTTTCGACATGGACACGTAATTTATTTGTATGTAATGCCTTTTATGACTTTTTCTTTGTGTTGTATACAGTTGGACCAAACAAATAAACAAAAGGCCTGTTGGAGAACTTGATCCATCAGGTACATTTCATTTATAGTTGGTTTTTCTGAACATATTAGTTGAGAAGCACTTGTTTACTCAATTTGTTATGAAGCCTGACTGGACAGACCATTATTCATCACTCTCTCGCCACTGTCCAACTGTCTATTATGCCAAACCATACAAAGGGCAAGCAGGGACCACAAGTGACTTCTCTGTTTTAAAAGTTAGCAGCATCATAGCTATGCACCAAGATACGCAGCAAACAAATACTGATGTTACACTCCATAGATTTCAAACTGAGAAATGTGTTTAACTTTTTAATGTAATGTGGTCACAAAAGAAAAATATCAAAGACATTTCAATTTAGCTTTTGAGTCCAGTGTTGATAGTAGAAATGAAGCAGGTACTCATAACAGGTGATTATATAAGAGCTAAGGTTCGGGTTCCTAATTTAAATATAAATAACTACCTCTTGACTTATGACTATTTCAATGAATTTATATTCATACTTACTTTTTAGTTCTGACTGTCTTGCAGGTTTTTTTCCATGAATTCAATTTTTGTTAAGCTTGCTAAACCTAAACCCACATAATTCATCTTCATTCAGTTAGCACATGTTCTGTACGATAGAGGTGATATTGAGAAATATTAACATTACTAATTGAATCAGGTTTTTCAACAGTTAAGTCAACTTTGCTAGCAAGGACAGCAGCATGTTTAAGCATTTTCATCATAATAATACATCCGCCCTGCTAGCAGTCAACCTGATTAAACTCAATGTTTTCATCTCTATTACACACATTCACACATACCACTACAGTGTAGATGTAAGTTCCCATGCACCACCCTACAAAGGGGGACCCCATCCCTTTCGCCTTACAATCAGGCAAAACACGGAGCATTCCTGTATCCATTGTGCATGAGGAGGTGGCCTTCCATAAATAGCTATGGGGCACGGGTTAGAAAGGGCTGACCACTGTTCCCCCTCTCTGTGGCCTGGCCCTCCATTCAGCCACAGACAGCTCCTCATTGACTTCCCACATGGAGGAAGGAGCGCTGTTTGGGGACGCTCCCTGGCTTTCAGAAACAAACCCCATTGTTCCTGAAGCTCACGCTTTTCTTCCTCTTATTTTCCTTTTGCAGCCGTTAGCTTTTTTGCTTGTGCTGCTCCTTTTCCTACAATGCAAGAGCATTTCCTGCCTTTCTGTCCCCAAGGTAGATATGCACCCTGCGCACTCACCCACCCAGAGAAAGCTGACCTAATAAACAGTAAGTGCGTACTCATATAATGTAACAGCTTGTTATTATTTACAGTAGTAACTCCTGTCAATAATAGTTAGAGGTTAACAGAGTTAAACAGCTATTTAACAAACATAAATACCATGCGACAGAGATGCGTGGATCCAGGTAGTTGAGCTTTGATGTGCCCAGAGAGATCTGCTTGTTCTCCTCTCTGTCTGTGGCCTGAACCTGGAGCTTCATCAGCTGCTCCTCGATCCTCTCGACAGCCTTACGCTTCATCTCCAGGATCCTGAGAGAGACACAGACAGAAGGAGGAATAAAGATGAATACAGAAAATCCTACAGAGAGAAAAACAGATATGTATACAGGTAGGGAGACAAAGAAACAGAGAGAGGAATAAATACATAAATGGCCTGAAATAACAGATGTCCTAAACATAATGACGTCTGGGAGTCTATTCAGACACATCGCATTAACGTAACTAACAGATAATACCATAATAGT